TCGCACTTATTTCAACTTTCACAAATTGATTCATTTTTTCTAAAACCTCGGATATTTTAATCTTAAGATACTTTCCTTTATTTATACAAATGAGTTATCTGTGTAAATCAGAATTGGGAGAGAGTTAGTTGCATAAAAATGGGTTTTAAAATAAAACTTTTTCTTTACAATATTTGAGAATGCAATTTTTGTAGGAAGATATAACAATTGCAAAGGTGTGAGAGAGTAATTGCAGTGCTTAGTGCAGTTCAAAACTAAATACAGACAACAAGTTCCCGATTTCTTTCTGCTGTGAAGAATTAAATACAAGGTCATTGTTGAAGTCTTTGAAAAGTAACTGTTTTGTCGACTGAGCTCTAGTCATCACGTGACCAGTAACCGTTCACCGCTATCAATAGAAAACGTGAAAGCTCTTATAATTACCGACGCCTTAGACTTATGTAGATAAATGATTTTTCAATGGTAACTGTCATTACACTTTTGCATGAATGTTAGATACCTTGCAGCGCATTGCCGCTACAAGATGGAAAAGGAATCTTGTCTTTGACTCCACTTTTGTTCTGAATTAATTTTTAAAAATTTATTTTCCATATATGGGATTGAGAGGTGAAATTTTTGAAAATTGGACAGCATTTTAACAAACCACTTCAAATTTCACTTCCTAATATTTTTTACGTGCAAAAAAAAAAAAAAAAATAAAGATGTTTGACTATAATAGGCATAAAGCAAAATCATGTAAAATTCGTGAGATGCCAAGTTAAAACTTCGGCATTATACTTATGTCAGTCGAAGAAAGATCGCCAGAGATTTGAAGTGTTCATTCTACAACAAATAATTTTAATTTGTGCATATAAAGCGGTTTAATTCTTGTTGTACAAGGCAAAGTTTTGAGAATACCCGAAGTCAGAAAAAGACAGAGCATTCAATACATCTCAATGATTCGCAATAGCCTGATTAAAGTTATGTGTAGATACATGTATAAGATCATTGGCTTGTCATGATTTGCATATTGCGCTTTTTAGGAGCATTTTTTGTATTTCTTCATTTTAAAATTATATGTGCATTAATAATTTTAGAGTGTGCTACTGTTATCTATTTGTCATGGTGTTCTGCAGGTTTCATGCATTTCGCTCGACCAGTTAATCAAAATTAAGTCTTTTGTGTCTAAATATATTATTTCAAAAGAAAGTGATGCATGGGCAATGAAATTCAAAATCACTGAAATACGCAATAAGAAGGGGGGAGAGGGATCTCTTAGCGGATAAACATTTTCATATTATTTTTGACTTATTTCAAGAATCCTCTTCATTAATGAATATTTCTGAAGTAATGTATCATTAAGAGTGTTTAAAAAAAATTGTTTTTCTTTACTGACAATGTACTACTAAATGTATCGGTAAAAACTGACATGCATTAACAGTAAATATCTGCGGATTTCCTTTATTTTCCTTTTTAGAAAAAATTAAAGTACCTCATCTGTACCTGTTATGAAGGGTTTAATATAACGTAGTTTTTGCATCTGTTTACAGTATTTCTTTTGCAAGATAAACTCGTCATTTCATCAGTGAGCTTGTGCATTAATATTAGCTTCATTTCTTTGATCGTTGTTCTTACGTCGTTCAAAGGGAGATCATTTGAATACAGCCAGAGTTACCTTATGCAAATTTCACAAAATAACAGTTAAGCATTTGAAAGATTAGTATAAATGCCAGATTTCTGGAGGGTGGTGGTGGGATAATCTATAAAAGGTTATTAACAAAAATTCGCTGCTTCTTCCAGGTAAAGAAGCACATTCACGCAAATGTATCGGCAAGTGCACATGCATGCATAGTGCTGCAAATGCAGCCTGTGTACCCAAAGTGCATCAACAACAACATACTCGCACTTATTTCAACTTTCACAAATTGATTCATTTTTTCTAAAACCTCGGATATTTTAATCTTAAGATACTTTCCTTTATTTATACAAATGAGTTATCTGTGTAAATCAGAATTGGGAGAGAGTTAGTTGCATAAAAATGGGTTTTAAAATAAAACTTTTTCTTTACAATATTTGAGAATGCAATTTTTGTAGGAAGATATAACAATTGCAAAGGTGTGAGAGAGTAATTGCAGTGCTTAGTGCAGTTCAAAACTAAATACAGACAACAAGTTCCCGATTTCTTTCTGCTGTGAAGAATTAAATACAAGGTCATTGTTGAAGTCTTTGAAAAGTAACTGTTTTGTCGACTGAGCTCTAGTCATCACGTGACCAGTAACCGTTCACCGCTATCAATAGAAAACGTGAAAGCTCTTATAATTACCGACGCCTTAGACTTATGTAGATAAATGATTTTTCAATGGTAACTGTCATTACACTTTTGCATGAATGTTAGATACCTTGCAGCGCATTGCCGCTACAAGATGGAAAAGGAATCTTGTCTTTGACTCCACTTTTGTTCTGAATTAATTTTTAAAATTTATTTTCCATATATGGGATTGAGAGGTGAAATTTTTGAAAATTGGACAGCATTTAAACAAACAACTTCAAATTTCACTTCCTAATATTTTTTACGTGCAAAAAAAAAAAAGTACATGTAAAATAAAATAAAGCTGTTTGACTATAATAGGCATAAAGCAAAGTCAAGTAAAATTCGTGAGATGCCAAGTTAAAACTTCGGCATTATACTTATGTCAGTCGAAGAAAGATCGCCAGAGATTTGAAGTGTTAATTCTACAACAAATAATTTTAATTTGTGCATATAAAGCGGTTTAATTCTTGTTGTACAAGGCAAAGTTTTGAGAATACCCGAAGTCAGAAAAAGACAGAGCATTCAATACATCTCAATGATTTGCAATAGCCTGAGTAAAGATATGTGTAGATACATGTTTAAGATCATTGGCTTGTCATGATTTGCATATTGCGCTTTTTAGGAGCATTTTTTTATTTCTTCATTTTAAAATTATATGTGCATAAATAATTTTAGAGTGTGCTACTGTTATCTATTTGTCATGGTGTTCTGCAGGTTTCATGCATTTCGCTCGACCCAGTTAATCAAAATTAAGTCATTTTGTGTCTAACATTTTTAAACACTCTAAATGATACATTACTTCAGAAATATTCATTAATAAAGAAGATCTTCAAATAAGTCAAAAATAATATGAAAATGTTTATCCGCTAAAAGACCCCCCCCCCCCCTTCTTATTGCGTATTTCAGTGTTTTTTTTTTTTAATTTCATTGCCCATGCATCACTTTCTTTTGAAATAATATATTTAGACACAAAATGACTTAATTTTGATTAACTTGGTCGAGCGAAATGCATGAAACCTGCAGAACACCATGACAAATAGATAACAGTAGAACTCCCTGAAATTATTTATGAAAATAAAAAAAAATGCTCACAAAAAGAGCAATATACAAATCATGTATCTACACATAACTTTACTCAGACTATTGCGAAACATTGAGATGTATTGAATGCTCTGTCTTTTTCTGACTTCGGGTATTCTCAAAACTTTGCCTTGTACCACAAGAATTAAACCGCTTTATATGCACAAATAAAAATTATTTGTTGTAGAATGAAGACTTCAAATCTCTGGTGATCTTTCTCAACTGACACAAGTATAATGCCGCAGTTTAAAACTTTGCATCTCACGAATTTTGTTCATTTTTATTGTGCTCTATTAGGAAGATTCCTTTCTAAACATCTAAATAGATCGAAAATACAATATTATCATATTAAAATACAAAATTATCATATCAGGATATGATAAAAATAGATTTGACCCCTCTTCGAAGATAAATGTTACAAAACTCGACACCCACCTTTGGGGGGGATGTTGCAGAAAAAAATATTTACATAATTTATGATTGCACCAAAGGAGGAAAGCGTCACCTAGAAAAGCCTTTCAAGTCTGTTCCACCTTTCAGGTTCCATAACTTATTAGATCGGACTCGAGATTCCAGCGCAACATGTAAACAACAAAGTAAGTTAACAACTCTGAGTCTGCATTGTCTAAGATTGTAAAGGGTGTGAAGTAGCATGCAATTACCCAGTGACATATTTATTTTTTTTTGAAGTGTTTCATTTTTTCCTTTTTCGCGTAATTTGTTTATCTTTAAAATGATTCAGCCATTTCAGGTAATGATATTGTCTACTTTCGTTTTGTAAACCGTTAGTCTTCTTCCACAGCTGACCACTTTTCAATGTATTCAGTATTAATTGCCCATTGTCTATCATATTTACTGGAGTAGATATACAATTAAAGATTTTCTTAATGTCTACTGTTGTAGTGGTAGGTACCACAGGTACTTTGGTCTTGGTTTATATATATGTACATATCACAGGTACTTGGATCTTGGTTTATAAATATGTATGTACCTTATTGATATGTAAAAAAAGTACTTTTTTTACATATCAATAAGGTACATACATATTTATAAACCAAGACCCAAGTACCTGTGGTACATATTGAATATGAATAAAAAAAGTACTTTTTTTGTAATATTCAGTTACTGTAGGTATACATACATGTATTTATAAACCAAGACCAAAGTACCATACCTGTACCATGAATGTGGGCATAACACCCATTTTTCTCAGTATAATGCTAAATTGTATCTTTCCTGTTGAAATTTTAAATCTTAACCTCTTTTGACAATTTTATTCCACATGCACCCAATAGCAAAGTGGGGTGGGGGGAAACAAAGATAATGTAAATTTATTAATGTAAATTTATTAATAAACATACACATATAGATTTTATTTATCAGATACTGCCCCGTTAAGTTGGTAACATTATAGAGGGAAATTTGAATGTTAATAGATGGAAAACAGTACCTTTCACTGGTTGACTCTAGATTGACCCTGCAATGGGAAATAACTCTTGTGAATGTGAAAGTTGTCTATTACCAGTAATTAGTGCTTTGTACTATAATTTTGTTCATTTTTATTGTGCTCTATTAGGATGGTATATAGAAATATTAATGTTAGAAATAATTGAATTTTCTTCAGTTGTTAATGATGTGGAGCTTGAAAGGGGTTCGTGTTGTCCGTGGACCTGACTGGAGCTCCTCTGATGTTGATGGAGGTGAAGGCTATGTAGGCACAATAACTCAGGTATACCTGTAATGGTTTTTTGAGGTGAAATGATTGTGTTGAAGTAATTTTTGTAATATACATGTAGCTACAAGTTAAGTTTTCTGTAAATCACTTTTTATTCATGAGAACTTTGTTTTTTGTGTAATTATGCAAGACTGTCTGCTCGCGAAAATTTCATTTTCATGAATATTTTTATTACTATAGATTATATACATCATTAACCAGAAAATTACCAAATACCTGTCTCGGGAAAATAAGGTGGCGTGAAAATCTGGTGATTTACAGTATGATGTAATTTGTTAATCATTTGTTAATTAGGTGGATTACAATGAGGAGAGAGTGACAGTTGTATGGGACATTGGTAGAGAAGTAACATTTCCTTATACAGAGGGAAAATATTATCTACTGGTGTTGGATAATTCCCCAGCAGGCAAGTTAATTAAATTCAATATGCTGAATTGATAAATTTGAATGAGAACATTGCAAACAATAGTAAATTGTCAGAGAAATTGAACATCAGCAAAATTAGAAAATTGACATCATACAATAATTAATGACCACAGGCACTGGTCTTTACATTGCATTACTGTGGAACCTTCATCGTTCGTGGGAGGATCAATGTTCGTAGATTTCCTGGGTAATGCTTACCCATGAATTTACATACCCACCAACATTGATGCACAAATACATTGAGCACAGCAGAATTATGTATCCAAATAAATTATACATGTTTATACCCATGAAATTACGTCCATGAACCAGTAAAATTTTGGTTACCTCCATGAACAATTATGATTCCTCAGTATTAATTGCATATGAATACATAAAATATCTCTCCATATGTATTTAATATTCAGGTCTTAATTACAGGAATCATTCACAAAGATGTAAGTTGTACTACGTGCAAAAGAAAAGAAATCCCAGGGATGAGATGGGTGTGCCTCAAGTGTAAAAAAGTTAACCTGTGTTCTACATGTTACATGGCAGGAAAGCATGAAACTGACCATGAATTTGGAAGGATTGATATGCCAAATTCTTCAATGCAAGTAAATTCACACTAATGTTAAATTTTGCTTAATTTTATGATAAATGTCATTTGGAAAAGTTAAAAATTAAATATGCATGTATTACAGAATTAAAGTTGGTATTAGAAAAAAGAGCACAAAGAAAAAGTCTTGGGGACTCTTCCCAAAGGCAAAGGTACAGAGGGGAATTCACTGGAAATGGGGAGACTCTAATGGTGAGGGTTAAGTATTCTCAAAGCTATCTAAAATAGACTACAGGGATACAGAAAATTAGTGGGGTTTTTTTCAAATATGACTTGCTGCAGGTATAATTATATGATATATTTCAAATTGGCTTACTCTCAACTATTATAAAAGTAAATTCTTTAAGAGCTTATTTTCAAGAACTTACTTACGTTTTCAAAATCAATGGTACATGTATACTGTATATGTGGGTATACTTATGATATATAATTAATTATTTTTATTCTGCACAGAGAATCATTGTTTATCTTTATTCATTTGATTGTGGTTCCTGATTGTATCATTAGAACAATTGAAGTAGGGCATGCTTTTAAATACTGTATGCTGATAAATCTTCATTTCAAAAGAAAATTCACTAAGTTGATATTATCTGTTGGTGTAATAATTTATAAATTTGCCTATTGAGGGTAATGGGAAAAAAATAAAGCAAGGAGTGATGTTGAGAAATTGGATTTCCACTACTATATAGGAGGTTAAAAATATTTAATTTATTCACTGTTCCATGGATTTTTAACTTCTTTTCCCCCTATAAAGTATCAAAATAAAGTATCTAAATATAAACTTTAATATAAACATTCTGAATACCGTTGGTCACAAATTGTACCTCTTAGGTGGAAAGGAGGTTCATGGATTGATACAGAACATCTGTGACTGGGGCCCCAGTGGTCACAGTGGTGCTGTTAGAGTTTGCTGGGAGAACAGGAACCACACGGTGGAGCGCTACAGGGTGGGAGGGGATGGTGAAGTGGATCTCATGGCTGTACAGTCTGCTGAGGGAAATGCTTACTATCCAGAACATCTGCCTAATGTTGGTATGTCAGTCATAGTATATAGAGCATTTACCTATTGTTGGTATGTCAGTCGTAGTATATAGAGCATCTACCTGATGTTGGTATGTCAGTCATAGTATATAGAGCGTCTACCTAATGTTGGTATGTCAGTCATAGTATACAGAGCATCTACCTAATGTTGGTATGTCAGTCATAGTTTGTAGAGCATCTACCTATTGTTGGTATGTCAGTCATAATATATTGAGCATCTACCTATTGTTGGTTTGTCAGTCATAGTATATTGAACATCTACCTAATGTTGGTATGTCAGTCATAGTATATAGAGCGTCTACCTAATGTTGGTATGTCAGTCGAAGTATATTGAGCATCTACCTATTGTTGGTATGTCAGTCGTAGTATATTGAGCATCTACCTATTGTTGGTATGTCAGTCGAAGTATATAGAGTGTCTACCTAATGTTGGTATGTCAGTTGAAGTATATTGAGCATCTACCTATTGTTGGTATGTCTGTCATAGTATATTGAGCATCTACCTATTGTTGGTATGTCAGTTGTAGTATATTGAGTATTTACCTAATGTTGGTATGTCAGTCTAGTATATAGAGCATCTACCTATTGTTGGTATGTCAGTCTGAGTATGTAGAGCATCTACCTAATGTTGGTATGTCAGTCTTAGTATATAGAGTGTCTACATAATGTTGGCATGTCAGTCATAGTATATAGAGCGTTTACCTAATGTTGGTATGTCAGTCTGAGTATGTAGAGCATCTGCTTAATGTTGTATGTCAGTCATAGTATGTAGAGCATCTGCCTAATGTTGGTATGTCAGTCATAGTATGTAGAGCATCTACCTATTGTTGGTATGTCAGTCATAGTATATTGAGCATCTATCCAATAACCTATTGTTGTTATGTCAGATGTGGTATATTGAGTTTCTACCTAATGTTGGTATGTCAGTCATAGTATATAGAGTCTAAGTAATATTGGTATGTCAGTCAAAATATATTGAGCATCTACCTATTGTTAGTATGTCAGTCATAGTATATTGAGCATCTACCTATTATTGGTATGTCAGTTGTAGTATATTGAGTATCTACCTAATGTTGGTATGTCAATCATAGTATATTGAGCATCTACCTATTGTTGGTATGTCAGTCTGAGTATGTAGAGCATCTACCTAATGTTGGTATGTCAGTCTTAGTATATAGAGCGTCTACCTAATGTTGGTATATCAGTCATAATATAGAGCATTTACCTAATGTTGGTATGTCAGTCTGAGTATGTAGAGCCTCTGCTTAATGTTGGTATGTCAGTCATAGTATGTAGAGCATCTACCTATTGTTGGTATGTCAGTCGTAGTATATTGAGCATCTACCTATTGTTGGTATGTCAGTCGTAGTATATTGAGCATCTACCTATTGTTGGTATGTCAGTCTTAGTACAAGGGACATTTGAAAAGTTCTGAGAACTATTTGATAAATTATTAACCATTTAGTGGAAATTATTGAGTTTGATATCATTGAAAAGATCAGAAAAATACACACATATGGTGACATCACTTTGTAATTTTTATGACGTAATAACTTCGAAAACGACATCAGAATTCCATGTGTTTTGCATATTGACCATAAAAATGATGTAACAAGAGACAAAATTACAGCAAATTAAAATTTTAAAGTCAACTTTTGCTGATTACTGGTACATGTCAGTCCTAGTATCAAGAGCATCTTTCTACTGTTGGTATGTCAGTTATGGAATCCAGAGTATCTTTTTATTGTTGATATCTCAGTCTTATAATCCAGGGTATATACCTAATGTTAATATATCATTTTCAGTATCAGTTATTGTTTATAGTAACAGTTTGATCAATGTTGGTAAATCAGTTTTAGAAACCTTAGAATCTTGCTAATGTTGGTATATCAGATGTAGTATCCATAGCATCTACTTAATGTTGGTATGTCAGTTGTTGTATCCTTAGCATCTTCTTAATGTTGGTATGTCAGTTTTAGAAACGTTAGCATCTTGCTAATGTTGGTATTTCAGATGTAGTATCCATAGCATCTTCCCAATGTTGGTATGTCAGTTTTAGAATTGGTAGCATCTTGGTAATGTTGGTATATCAGTTGTAGTATCCATAGCATCTCTCTAATAATGGTATATCAGTATTAGAAGCCATTGCATCTGCCTAACATTGGTATGACATTCTTGGTATCTAGAGCATATTCATATTATCTTGGTATGTCAGTCTTAGTATTCAGAGCACCTGCCTAACATTGATATGTCAGTTGTAGTATCAAGGGCATTTACCTAATGTCTTAGTGTTCAGTGCATCTCCTTAGTTGGTACATGTATCATTGTATGTCAGTCTCAGCATTTTTTTGTTCACTCCTCTAAACTTTGACTCAAGTTTTAAACAATTCTTTTTTTTACTTTTTTTTTATGTGCTTGGAGCCAGGTCAAGTTATTTTAGCTCAAGATGTGCTTTGACTGAATCCAAATAAATGTCATTTTTTATGCATAATTTTACAATAGTTCTTTTAGAATCTTTTTGTTATTATTCCCCTTGCTTGAAAAGTGGGGGGAATATAGTGAAGGAGATGTCTGCCTGTCCATACATCACTTTTGGGTAGCTATCCTTTATCCACATCTCCTCATACACTACCGAATGCAATTTAATGAAACTTTCACCAAATCTTTGGCATTGTGCATCTCATATTTAATGTTTTGATCAAACACATATTTGGGATTTCCTATAGCAAAACATGGACACTGCCATTCTTTCTATAATATAAGTGGAACCTCTCTCTTATCCACAACTCCTCCTGAATAAATGAGACTCACAAAATCTCTGTAACATAGTGCCATTGTGACCTTCTATATTCTAATCAGACAGATACATGTATTTGGAGTTTCCCATAACAATTAAAATATAGACTTTGCCATTATATTCATATGGAAGTGGGGGTATCATTTTGTGAGCCAAGTGGTCACAGTACCTCTAGTTGATGTCTGTTATTTTCTACCACAGGTCTTGAAATCTTGGATGCTGGAGACCATAAGATTGGAGACAAAGTGCAAATAAATCTCAGTGCTTCAGAACTCAGAGTCCTGCAATCATCCAGTGACATTGGCTGGCAAGAGGAGATGACCTATGTAGGTTTGGAACATTTGAATGTTTGAATAAATAAATTTGTTTACCCTCACAACCTATTTTGCAGTATTTTTTATACTCCCACTCCGAAGGAGAGGGAGGTATACTGTTTTACCTTTGTTTGTCTGTGTGTGTTTGTCTGTCCGTAACAATTTTTTTCGCAGTTTTCTCAGCAACTACTCATCTCAGATGCTTGAAATTTTAACACACTTTTTGTTAAGGCATGTCATATGGTGTGATTCATTTTTATACGAATTCGATGTCAACTTCCTGTTTATCTGTGCATCTGTCCATATCAAATTTCCATAACAAATTTTTGTCACAGATTTCTCAGCAACTACTCAAGGCAGATGCTTGAAATTTTAGCAAACTCTTTGTTTAGGCATGCCATATGGTGGGATTCATTTTTGTATGTATCTGACGTCAACTTCCTTTATTTTTTTAACTGAACTTGCGTATATTCACATGAGAGCGTATATTTACATCAGAGTGGGGATATTACTAGTGAGCATTGGCTCACAGACTTCTTGTTTTTGAAAGAAAGGGGGAGGGGGTTATTTGCTCCCATCTGTTCAGCACACTTTATGTCAAGGAGAAACAGAAAGACCTTTACTTGAAGTTTATTCATGACTAGAGAGTGAAAGATAATGTTTCTTAACTCTAAAACCCAAAACCAAGGTTTCAAGGTAGAACAGCTTTAATAGTAGAGGTATTAATGGGTAAAGCTTTTACCTGCACAATTGAGTTCAAATCAACTGATGCATTTCCCATACAAGGAAGAATCATATGTTCATACAATTCATGTACTTTTATGTAAATCTTTGTTGTAGTGTGTAAACAACACTGGGACTATAATTCACATTCCTTCTATATGTCAAGCCAGGGTTCAGTACCAAAATGGACTGCTATTCAACTTCCAGAAATTTGTCCTTCATAGAGTGAGTACTAGTAGATGTTCTATCTTCTGGAGATATTTTGATTTATGAAATATTTTTGAAAGCATTTGTATTGTCTTATTTGTGGATTATCATGGACTGAAGGAAACTGATTCTTTTGAATGATTTACTGGTACATGTATTAGGTCACCTGAACCAAATACTCGGTTGAGCTTTTCTGATCAAGGAGTGTCTGGAATTAAAGAACCAGTATATCATAAAAGCTTACAGCTCACAAAACTTAAGTAAATGCCCCTTTGCTGAGTGTAGATTCAAGTTTGCTAAAGTCATGACCACTGCGGCTAGGATGGAGCCACATGAGGAGGCTTTAAAGATTTGATTTGGATTAATTAAAAATCTCCTTCTCAAGAACAGATGGTACAGTAAGTAAAATTGAATACAAAAAACCTCCATGTAGTGAAGATTCTAGTTTGTTCAAATTATGGCCCATCCCAGGGGATAGCAGAGGTTCCAACAGGAGGTCAAAATTTGATGAAGAATAAATGGAGAAAATCTCACAAACAGCAGGGTCAAGTTGACTCAGGTGAGCATTTTCTGTCTTGTCGATCTTTCTTACCATCTTAAAATACTTTTCATTCATCTTTAGGTTCACCGCCTTGAAATGGGAGATCTTGTTAGAGTAATGAAAGATAAAACAATAGCATTTCGACTTCAGCAAGGACATGGTGGCTGGTCAAAGAATCAAGACTTGGTCAGTTCATTAGATAACTTGGACCAACTGATGAGAACAATTATTCCACGTGCACTGCATTTCATATTCCGTTACAGCTTGCATGCATTGAAACTTCATCCTTTTGTCATAAATTCAATAAATTGGTAAAGAAAAATAATGAAAAGTATGACTCTTATTAATTTTATGGAGCTGTTCAAAAATAATTTTAATTGCTTAAATTTACACCATATTGCTAAATATGCATAGAGCATTAAGGGGATGAGATAATTGTAAAATGGGGATTTCATTTATCATCTTCTTCCCTAGCCAAATGTATCTGATCCAATTCTGACACAAATACTTTGCCCAGGATACTATCAAAATTTTGAATTTTTTTCCAAAAAAGCGACAGTAAGGCTGCAAAATGTGTGCTATGTCATCGAAAAATTTACCAAATATGTCATTAAGAAATAAGGTATAAAGTTGATGTAAGCAGTTTGAGAAACAGAAATATTCTCTACTCAAACAAAATTAACGTAATTAGAATCTGCCGGAAAATCAAGGGTCGTACGAACTGGAGCAATCTTAGATCTGTTTATTTGTACCACGTGAACTCTAAAACGGCACGTGCCTACACTGTAGAATTTACAGTTATAATGAATATTAGGTGAAAGCAATTTTCAAAAACACAAATTATCATAACTTTCTGAAAAAATAATCTAAAATAATAATCGTAAAGATTTTAGTCTGCATTCAGGCGAATTTAACAGAATTAAAAGTACAAATGTTTACGTTTCGTGTATTGGGGTCCGAGAAAGGGAAAACCAACTAATCATACGTTATCGCGGCAAACGTCAAACAAAATATTTTTCTGCACAGTTAAAAAAAATTAGCATTTCAAATGACAACAATGTTTATAAGTCAAAGATGTATTTTTAATGTTGAGTTTACACTATTTTTTTCTTTGAAAGCGACGGAAAAATGAGAAATGATAACAAGTATCAACAAACCTGTCGAATAGAACCTTCGAGAGCCCTGCGTGAGTGTCGCCGAGTTCCCGTTTCTTCCTTATCCAGCGATTTTATTAATCCCCAAACTAAATTTTAGTCATGAAAGTTGCTTTTTCAAGTTCTATTTTCAGTTTCTTTTTCTTTTTGGTCGACTTGGTCAATGTAGCAGGCCTACCGGGATTCCCTCTCTAACCATGCTGTTTTGTTTATGAAAACTACGCATCAGTGCATAGCATGGAATGTGGAACCCCGAACACGTTGCGATGTATATATTTACGTCCCATAAATAACTATTAATTTTAATGAAATAATCCAAATTATTTAATTGTAAAAGTTGTAATTTTCTGAAAGTTTATACATTTATGAGTAGTAAAAAAATTCCAAATCTTGTCGGAAAATTTTATCTAGTCAGTTTTTTGATGAGATGCGCCGTACTGTCACTTTAAGGTTGAAGTTTATTTATATTGTTTGACCAATCAGCTAGTGTATTGCAAAGCTAAATTAAGTAATGCAATGTCAATATATAACACTGACTTGGCTAGCAGCAATTACTTATTGGATAAATCAAAGACTGTATTCATATGAAAGAGAGACTACTGTAAATATGAAGAATTAATTAACTTTAATTTTGCAGACATTAGGACGGCTGGGTAGGATTGTCAATATTGATGATGATGGCGATGTGTCTGTGACTGTTGGGGACAGTCAACACCTGTACAGCCCAGTGTGTCTAGATGTGGTGGATCCAAATTCTCTGTCAGCCAGGGAGAAGGTGCCCTCTATACCGAGTAATCTCCACTCCATTAGATGTAAGATCATGACAAGCTTCATTCTGTTTTGTAAGATAAGCAAAATTATTAAAGCATGATAATATGTGAATAATTTGCATGTTATTATTCTCTTAAAAACTGATAAGCTTTTTGTCTATTTTTGTGTTGTATTCTCATACAAATTTTTGTTTGTAGTATTTGACTTTGAATTAGGAAGACCTAGCAAAATTGATTCCATGCCACAGTTAACATCTGTTGTAAAAGCTGCAGCCAGAGGAAATTTGGATTCTATAAAGCAGATCCTAAAAGCAGACAAGAGGAAGGTAAGCTACGTCCAAGATACACCCACATAATTTTGGAAGTTTCAAAATTGAGGTGAAAAGTGTTTATATCAAGATAAGTAGATTTATCATTTACTTAGTAGTAAATACACCGATTCTGCACTGTGCGATACGGGTGATGTCACAATACGCCATATGAAGGACCCGTCTGAAAATCCATATCACGTATTGGACCAGCGTGCAAAAATCCATATCAAACCAGAAGTAACTTTTGTATACGGTTAAAAAGTTAATTTACTTGATTTTATTTAAAAATTCATGTAAAATAATTCTTTAATAACAATCGTAGTCTTAATTTTTTTTCAGTTACCTAAAATTGGCTCGATTTAAATAAATTTTAAAGAAAAAGGTCATAAACAGGCACAAAACATTCTTCAATGACTTTTTGTGAACTCAAATATTAAGTATTTTAAATGTATGATATATAGAATACTACGTACTAAAATCCATATCATATGTCACATCAGCCCGAGAGGCCCCATATCAGCCCGAGGGCCGATGTGCTTCATTTATAAACTAATATGGGGTATATGATGTTCATGTATCTCATTGATTTTTCAATTCATGTTTTGGTACTACCTGTACTAGGTATTAGACATTTTTATATAAAAATCTATAAATTTTTTATTCAGACAAAAAGGAACAAATATCAGAAAAGCTACAACGATTTTTAACTTTTGACAATTCACATATAGTAATGTACTGCATGTGTATATATAGATATGGAACTAATGGAGATGTTGGGTTCTATTTCAGTTGATCCAGCCTGATGAGTCTGTTACAAGTATATACTACCGGTAGTATAAATTTGTATTATTTATCATCGCTGAATTTTGTTTTACTTTTCACAGGTGGACAACATTGAGAATGGAGTGACTGGCTTGCAGGTAGCCAGCAACAATGGCCATGAGAAAGTTGTCAAATTTCTTCTGGAGAGAGGTGCTGATATAAATAAAGTGGACAAAGAAGGAAACACACCTCTCCATTTTGCTGTGCATGGGTTTGTTTGTATATATATTTCAATTAAATCTATTTTTTCCTTCATAGGAAAATTATATGATGTATCTCATTGATTTTGACATATACAGTCAAATCTCATTATCTCAAACACAATGGGACCAATAAAAACTTTGAGATATCTGAGGATTCAAGGTTTCAAGGGTAAATTACTTAAAGAATAAGTGTTTAGGACTTCCAAATCACTTCAACATACCCATGAGATATATCGGTGTTTGAGATACCGAAGTTCAGCTGTACTTTGTACTGGTATTTCTAGTAGGTACTGGGCATCTTTATGATAAATATCTTTTTTTTTGTGCAGACAAAAGACAGCTGTAATAAAACTGTTACTTGAGCAGAAAGCGGATTCCTCTATACAGAACAGTGCTGGACAGACAGCATTACATCTGGCTATAGACAGACAACAGATAGAGAGTATAAAAGCTCTTGTCATTGGCCCCTGTGATGTACATGTCAAGGTTAGTAGTGGGTCAAGGTCATATATTCTTTTTGTTTCCTTATGTTGACTCACATTAATTAAGGTATTAAGAAGCGACTATGGTAAAATATTTTTAAATAAATTTTTGTCATTTGCAAATTTGCATTCATTTTTATGCCCCGCCATGAATATGGCTGGGGCATATAGTGTTTGTCATTTCCGTCTTCCGTCCTTCTGTCTGTCTTTCCATCACACTTTGCGTTTAGCTCTGTTCAAAGCTCAGTTTCAAAGAAACTATCCAAGATATTTTTATCAAACTACATATGCTGAAACATGTAGATATTGATGAGAGCTATGCAACTGCATCAACATTTTTTGACCTTGTCCTTTCAGTTGACCTTGACCTCACTTTTCTTAAATTAGTGCTTAGCTCAGTCTTAAAGATACCATTCAAGGTAGTGTAATCAAACTTCATATGTTGATACATACTGATGTAAGCTATTCAACTGCATCAAACTTTTTGACCTTGACCTTTTATTTGACTTTGACCTCACTTTTCTTAAATTAGTGTTTAGCTCAGTTTTAAAGATACCATTCAAGATCGTGTAATCAAACTTCATATGTTGATACATACTGATGTAAGCTATTAAAATGCATCAACATTTTTTGACCTTGACCATTACTTTGACCTCACTTTTCTTAAATTAATGTTTTGCTCAGTTTTAATGAAATCATTCAAGATATTTTTACCAAACTTCATATGCTGATACATACTGATGAGAGCTTTTCAACTGCATCAATATCTTTTGACTTTGACTTTTCCTTTGACCTTGACCTCACTTTTCTTAAATTAGTGTTTAGCTCAGTTTTAAAGATACCATTCAATACAGTGTTATCAAACTTCATATGTTAATACATAGTGATGAGAGCTACGCAGCTAGGTTAAGGACTCCCATATATACGTCAGCCTATGCAGAGGTTCAGGAAAGCTATTATGACGTCACGTTAAAACAATACAAATGAATCTCGATGAATAATTACTGTATGTTCTTTTTAAAACACACTAAATACTTTTGTTTCTCATAAATGTTATAAAGATAAATGATCGTGCAACTTATCTTGCCATAATAGCACTTAGCATATGCAGAATGAAAGCCAGCTTGATCTCGCTGTACTTACTGAGATGACGTCATTTCTTAGTTTGACACGCAGTTTCTCTGTATTTGAGGCGTGGATCAAGCTTTCATTGTAGCTTGTAAAAATAAAAATAAATACAAAACATCGTAGTTGGACCAAAAGAGAGACATATTCTGAAATATATTAATCAACATTTTATTGTCAAACTAAATTGATAATCTGTAGACTTTAAATAAAGCCGTAGGGAGCACATTTGTACAGTAACATGCTAGAATGACAGGTCCAGCCCCTCGAAAATATCGAAAGTTCAACGATATCCGATTCACAATAGATTCTGAATTTTTAAACACGTGTAGCTATTACTCCTACTATTCTGAAAATCGCTGGGAGCTGGTTGTACATTGTTTATTTATTCCGTAATCTAACATTATTCCAATGCGTATTACATTTTTGTCTGGAGTTTATAGAAAGACGGCTAAATTTTAAACAATTCTCGAGCATGAAGAAGTTGCTCCCAGCACTTTTCGGGTTAAGGAATTTGTCTCAAAGAAAACGAAATAAATTTTATTGCGGAAAGATGCCTGTATATCATTGAACTTTTACGATCTTTGTAGTAGTACATATATGGTCCAATTTTAAACCTGTCACGTGACAAACAGCTGATGTAAGCGATGTCACTTTGGCCGAACTCAGCAGAGACCCGATATATACAAATGCAAACACCACAATTCACATTTATCAAAACTACTGCTGTTAAAAAAAATATTAAAATTGTATTCATTTTCCCTGAATATATAAAGGCATATATTTCATGGGCATCCTTAACCTAGCTGCGTATTCAACTGCATCAACATTTTTTGACCTTGACCATTCCTTTGACCTTGACATAATTTTTCTTAAATTAGTGTCAAACTTCATATGCTACATACTTATGTAAGCTATTCAACTGCATCAATATTTTTTTACCTTGACCTTTCCTTTGACCTTGACCTCACTCAATTTGTGTTTAACTCAGTTTTAAAGAAAGCATTCATAATATTTTTATCAAACTTCATATGCTAATACATACTGATGTAACCTTTTCAATGCATCAACATTTTTTGACTTTGACCTTTCCTTTGACCTTAACTTCATTTATTTTAAATTAGTGTTTAGCTCAGTTTTAAATAAACCATTCAAAATATTTTTATCAAACTTAAATATGCTGATACGTATTTGTGAGAAGTATTCAACTGCATCAAAAACATTTGACCTTGAACTTTCCTGTGTCCTTGACCTCACTTTTCTTAGATTTGCATTTTGCTTAATTTTAAAGAAACCATTAAAGATATATTTATGTAAATTTATGCACTAATACATAATTTGGCGAGAATTTATCATCTATATCCAACTTTTTAGATTTCAATTTCAATTTTAAAGAAACTATTCAAGATATTCTCATCAAATTTCATACACTAATACAAATTTTCATGTTGCATTACATGTACTAATATACCCACAGCAGGGCATTCATGTCCTATGGACATATTTCTAGTTCTGAAAAGTGTTTACTTTTTATTACAGGATAGCCAGGGAGACACGTCAGTTCATGCTGCTATCAGAACGAGACAGGAGAAGATTCTGAATGCAGTCCTTAGAACATACCAGGTGAAGTTCCATACAGAGAATACATCAGGATATGACATGCTTCAATGGGCTGTTTATAATAACTTTAAAAGGTGAGTTAGATTACTAGTATCTTCACTGGCTGAGGGTTATGATATTTACTCTTAATTCTCTTCACTGAAGATTGTGTGAATAGCTAGCAAAGATGGAGATGGATCTGCTTTTTTTCATTTTTTATCTATCTAGCATTGAAATAAAATTTTGAGATATGGATTAAATGTCCATTGTTACTTGTCATACTCAGATACTGGTCGGTTTAGTAAATGTTTGTAAACATTTTGGCACCAGACTCTGAATAGTATATAGAGATATATTCCTACAATACAGAAGATTATGGATATTTCTTGAAGGAAACTCTCGTGTAAACAGGTTTTAAATTTTCCGTTTTACAGTACCAAGCTACATATGCATGTAGGTGGTCACCCTGCAAGGGGAGTACCACTATAATTTTTAATATAAAAAATCTGTAAAGCATATGAATGTTGCAGTGCTGTAGAGTTGATACTGGCAAGATGTAGCCACTGTCTGCCTGAGCTGGTAAACAGAAGAATGTCTAATAATGGGTTTACTGCCCTTCATATAGCAGCCTTCCATAACTTCAGAGACTGTGCCCATATTCTGATAACTAAGGTATATTACCCAAATGTTATTTCCATGTGAAAAAAAATTGTATTTCAGAGCTTTGCTATACCATGTTTCCCTATTAATAAATAATATACATGTACATATAAAAAATATATTGTAAACAAGAAATTATTTAAGGTTAAAATTATAGATACTCTTTAATTGTAAAAGTAAGGAATAGTGATTTTCATAAACAGGGAGAAATGAAGATAGACATGGTAGATAGTAAGGGACAAACTCCTCTCCATCTTGCAGCAGACCAGGGGCATCTGAATATGGTAGAATTTCTAGTAGAATTTGGTAAGCATTTTCTTTATTATGGAGTATCTTAATCTTTGTGACTCGAAATTTTCACCATTTCATCCTATTTATAAATTATTAATTTTGTTTTTATTTAAATTTTGTGATTCCAGATTTTGGGCTTGAGGAAGCTAAGGGATTGGAATACATGTATTTGTTAATTTTAATATGACTGAACCAGTAAATTTGGACAATAATGTACATTATTGTTTCACTGTTTCATTTAATATAAGAAAGCTTTTAACAGGAAGGATGAAATGCTTATATGGCCCAGAACAAAAATTTCAAGTTTGGCATACTTGCTTGACTACAACAAAGTCAGAAATCTATTTAATACATTATTGATATTGATCAATTGATTTTTTATTGTAGATTTGAAGGTGAATGCTCAAGACAAAAATGGAAATAGTCCATTGCACTTAGCTCAGATGAAAAATCGTAATTTTGAGGCTGCAGAGGTAAGATAAAAAGTTTTTTCATGAATTTTTTAAATAGTGAGAAATAAGAACATATTTAAATGAGATTGAGTCGACTTCATAAGATCTTATATTTTCTTAATGTACTTGCTACATTTGTAGATGTAAATAAGTATTTAAAAAAATTCTGATTAGAAGACCAGATATTTTTTGATGTATCAAATATGTACATCTATGATAAATCATATAAGATTGTATGGAAATTGTGTGTGTGTGTGTGTGTGTGTGTGTGTGTTTTAGGTCTTTTGGAAAGTAAATGTAGACAGACATGAAATAAAATTTTGATTTTTTATGCAAAAAAAATACTTATCTTTGTCCTGCAGGGATCAGAAGTAAACAAGACAAACAACTATATATTAATATCCTGCCTACTGGTTGAACATGGTGCGGAACTAGACATAAAAAATAAGCAGGGAAAAACGCCATTTGATTACACCAATCAACATTCAAAGCTGTTTCTTGAGAGGTATAGACAAATGACTGAGATAATGCCTGTTTGGAGTGGAGCCTCAGTCCAACAATCTCAATAATAAGAGTTATTTCCCTTTACTTGTAGGATATCAAAAGCAGCCAAACATCAAAGGTCAGCTAACTCAGCAGGGGGGATCTCTCTCCCTCTGCACTGGTCAAGTATGGAGAATAAAGGCTTTGATCTGGTCAGTTTAGATTGCAAAAAATCTGAAGAGAGAGCAGAGTTTTCCAGTGTGTCTTCTGTCATAGTAAATGGACTTCCTAATGCTGAAGTGAAGGAGGTCATCAGAGTGCAGAATGAACATTTATGGATGCTTTACTCTGTGTGGGTTTTTTTTTATTAGTCTGCATTAATTAAAAATAGGATTTTTTCTATCTTTGCATGATGTAAAGTATTGACTAAACATGAGCAGGGAAGAAAAAAATTAATTTAAGCTTAAATGGATTGTGAAGAAGGAATAGTGAGTGGAAACATGTATATATGAGGGTTAATTTTCCAGTAAAATCGTGGACAAGTACATGTAGTCTAGAGTGAAAAATAATCAACACTGCTTTCTAAAATTTTCCCTACTTTTTTGTACATTTTTCATCAATATACATAGCAAATTTCAAAGAGTTATATGCTCAAATTAACAAAATATGGGATTTAATGTTTTGTGTGGTATATTGCCCTACTTCGCACGGATGATATGGTCAAAATGACAAACGCAACGTCACATTTCATCCTTGCTTAAAAAAAAAAATGGATAAGCCCCACTTATATTTCAGGAATTTTACTGAAGCACAGTTGAGTTTGCCTTTATTTCTCTATGAACAGTTGAGTGATCAATCTCTCACATACATGAGACCTTATGAAAACTTGTATTAGTAAATTGTGAAAGGTACTCTCACCTTCACTGAACTAAATTGGCAGTCTTTTTTCGAAGCGTCTTTCATTATTGCCAATAGCTGATTGTCTGTATGTTTTAATCTACTGGTGGACTCGATCAAAAAGCCCCCATTTAAAAATATCCCCATTCCACTTGTTAGCTCTTCAGAGCCAAAGGCTCAAAGAGCTAATGCTATGGCCATTTGTGTGGTGTGCATAAACTTTTTAGAATATGGGCCATAACTCAAGAACCCCTTGGCAAATTATTGTCAAATTTGTCACCTTGGCCCAAGGGCTCCCATTTATACTAAAACTAGGGTTGTGACCCTTAAACAAGGGGATATAATTAGGTAAATAAAACCAAAAGTACTGGTTGCTAAAAAATCTCAAGAACCACTGGGCAGATTATCACCAAACTTACACAAAAGGATGAGGATATGTAAAAGATTAAAAATTGTTCAAGGCATCACCCTGGGGAAAAGGGCGTAGTCTCAATGTCACTTCAAAGTTGACCAAAAATTACATTTTATTAAAATGTTAATATTTTGCTTACTTTAAGGACTATGATCACCGAACTTTGTCAGTTGATGCATCTAAGGACCTCATATCATGTTGACTCAAAAGTAGGTCACAGTGACGTACTTTTTAAATTTTGCGGTCATTCTTTTTCAAAATGATTTAGAGGCATATTTTGAACAATTTAAGGCCTATGATCATCAAACTTTGTCAGTTGATGCATCTTGGGTCCTTAAAGTATGTCAACTAAAAAGTAGGTCACCTTGACCTACTTTTTGAATTTTATGGCTAATCTTTTTCAAAACATTTAAGGTCATTAATTCAAATACTGAGAGGTTTAGAATTAAATCTTGTAAGATGATGCATTTTGGGGCCATAAAACATATTTGTTTAAAAGTAGGTCACAGTGACCTACTTTTTGAACTTTGGCCTATGGTCATAAAACTTTGTAAGTTGATGCATCTTGGGTCCTCGAAAAATGTGAACTGAAAACTAGGTCATTGTGACCTACTTTTGAAATTTTATAGCTATATTTAAATATTTTGGGTACTATGTGGATTAGAATCATCAAACTTTGTCATTTGATGCATCTATGGGTCCTGGGAATAAGTGACTGAAAAGTTAGTCATCGTGACCTACTTTTCAATTTATATGGCTATAATTAAATATTTCGGGTACTAATTGGCATAGAATCATCAAACTTTGTCAGTTGATGCATCTTGGGTCCTCAGAGAAAGTTGACTGAAAAGTAGGTCACCCTGACCTACTTTTGAAATTTTATGGCTTTATTTAAATATATCAGGTACTAATTGGCTTAGAATCATCAAACTTTGTCAGTTAATGTATCTTTGCTTCTCGGAGAATGTCGACTTACTTGGCTATATTCAAATATTTTTGGGTACTAATTTGCTTAGAGTCATCAAATTTTGTTGGTTGATGCATCTTGGGTGCTTGGAGTATGTCGACTGTAAAGTAGATCACTGTGACCTGACCAAATATTTTTCAGGTACTAATTGGCTTAGAATCATCAAATTTTGTCAGTTAATGCATTTTGGGACTTCAAAGTATGTCAACTGAAAAGAAGGTCACTGTGACCTACTTTTGAAATTTTATGGTAATAATTAAATTGTTGCATCTTGGGTCCTAGAAGTATGTCAACTGAAAAGTAGCGCTAGGTCAACATCAAACTTAATTGATTCATCTTTGGTCCGCGGAGAATGACAAGTGATAAGTAGGTCACCATGACCTACTCTCCGGCACTAATTGGCTTAGAATCATCTTGGGTTCTCAGAGTGTTTTATCTAAAATGTAGATCGTGATGACCTACATGTACGTTTAGAATTTCAAGGCTTTATTTAAATATACAGGATACTTAGAGGCTTCAAATAGAAGCGATACTGGTTATACAATTTATCAGAAGAGCGATTCAAGGCCCTTGGGCCTCTTGTATTTTAATGTATTAGTGATATTTTTATATTTTTTTTTAATATTCTGTTATCATTTAAAGTCTCTTAAGGCTTCATTACTCAGCATATAACTGAACTGCTTTCCGGTGCGCTGTAACGTCATCAAAAGTCGCCATTTTTTGTTTGTTGCGTTTACCAGTTTCCCCATTTTAAGGTCTTGGAAACCGATAGAAATTAGGCATATTCCTTGAAATTTTCCAAATGATAACATAATAGATATCATAGGAAATTAAAATACGAGTATGATAATTTTTACCCCAACCTTTTCTATTTAATACTTTTAGAAATATTACTTGAATATTCCCTGCCAAAAATCCAGACTTTTTGGTCGTGCGTCGTAGGACCATACCGTGTACACATTCAAGTATAATAAAATCCTTAATTTATTAAAAGTATCAAGATGCACTTAAATATGGTTAATGGACATTTCCTGAAAATTTCAGTTCAGTGGGTGCATTACTTTTCAATAAAAACGCGATGTCCACGATTGTGTGTGTGTATATTGCAAATAGCAGTAGTGCTGCAGTACGTGTATAAAATATGTGTTTGATATTACTGCGTTAGAAAAAATATCTGTATGCTTAAAATACAGTAGTTTTCATCACTATTTGGTTTTATAATACTGCCCATTAACAGTTTTATTGATTTTGGTTACTTCTGTAGAAAAAAGAAAATGTTTACCAAAAAGTATGGAAGAGGAAACGAAAATGAAGTCAGACTCTTACATGGGACCAAGTCCGAGACTGCATTTAAAATATGTGAGGAAAATTTTGACTTCAGAATCGCTGGTGAAAATCTCAGCCCCATGTATGGGAAAGGGGTATACTTTGCTACAGAACCTTCCCTGTCTGACCATTATTGTTCAGAGGAGGAAAACAACGGACTGAAATACATGCTGATGGCTCGGGTCCTGGCAGGAAAAATGGGGTATGGCTCCCCAGAATTACGGAAGCCTCCTGATGCTTGTGACTGTGTTGTGGATTATCCGTCCAAACCTCGGATTTACTGTGTTTTTGATTTTAATCAGCTTTATCCAGAATATGTTATAAAATATAAACTAGTAGATAGCATAAAGTAATTGAAGGTTTAAAGGTGAATAACTCCATGTGCCATTTGTAAGAATGAAATACATTATTAGATTAAAATTTAAAAAAAAAAAAAAAAACTTTATTTGGTGATTTCTCTTAAAATACATTTACTTAAGATAGCTGGCAAAGTCAATGTGATCATTGTTTGTACATGTATAAAACTGCTCTGTTCCTATGTGCAATTTTCAATTTGCGAAGCTCAAAGACCAACGACCTATTTACACATAATGTGTACGTACGATTTTCAAGCTAACAAATGGTGAATATACACGTCTGGATTTTTGAACACAATTACCCTCCATAATTGAGAGGGGTATGCTTGGTGCACAGGACGTATGCAGCCGTGTGTACTTGGTGAATGGTAAGGAAAGTGAATATGTATCTGCAGAAAATACAGGCCCATAGGAAGCAATTTCACACTGAGGGGGCACAACCATACATTTTCAGTTGGGGGGGGGGCACTATCAACTACCAAAAGAAGGTCATCAGACATTATTAAAAAAGGTCATCAGACGTTATTATTGAGGGGGCACAAGCATACAGTAGCTATGTTTTCTAAAGTATTCTATATATCGGCAACGTGGGGGAACGGCCATGAAATAGACTTAAAATAATTACTTATCTTACCCCCCCCCCTCCCCCAAGGTTTTTCAAGTTTGGGCAACTTGTTCACTTTTTTGGGGTCAAAGAGTTTCGGAGATTTCTTTTCTGGTGAGGACCCCCCCCCCCCGGAAAAAAATTCTGGATCCGCGCATGCTGAGGGAAGTGCAAAAATTTAAAAGATATCAATAAGGCTAGATCTTCTTTTCCCCTAATGTTGAAGACCTAGAGGAAGCACTGTGACTGCTTTGGTACAGTATAGTCTTTATCTTTTTCTTGTTAGAAATTAAAATTTATAATGGGACTTCATACTCTCTAAATATTCAAAACATATTAGTGATGCTGAAAATCTCTATCACTTGAGACGTCTTTGAAATTCAGTGACGTCACGACGAAACAGACACAGAAAGGTGAGTAACCGCGACTTCTTAATTTTTCCAAATATCCGCAGTTATCTTTTTATTCACCTTCAATGATTATTTTTCTGTTACAACAAAAACGTCGTATTACCCGTCAGTTCGCTCAGTTCAACATGCACGATTCAGGTTGTTGCATTGATTCTATGGATGCCATTAGCCCATGATGGTAGGCCTAACGTAATTCGTCAAGTAAATTAGTTGAGCTTATACATTGAAAGGGGAAAAATCTGTTTCACTCCGATTATCTGTAATTTTGCTGTTGAGAATTTTCAATTTTGTTGGATGGGTATTTCCAACGTTATCTAAAAATAAATTTATAATGGTCTGATAGGTATCTAATTCAAAATGTACATTTACTCTTTAACCTTATTAACCTTGGTCGAATCAAGGATTAACCCTGTTGGGGTGGGGGATTGGATGGTTGATTACTGTCGTATGCCATATAGAACCTTTCAGTTTCTCCTCACAAAGATCTTTCAACACCAAGGATTCTGTAGAGAGGTTTTTGGGGTGCAGTGGCGTGCATAGGTTGATCCAGGAATATTTGTAAAAAAAAAAAAAAAAAAAAAAAAAAAAAAAAATGATAGACTGAAGTACATGTATTCTTGTCTCAGTTTTTTTTCCCCTTTCGGGCTTCTTCAGAACCTTAAGCAACATCCACAATAGGAACAGAAAGAGTTTTTCGGTAGAACAAGTGAGCTGCATGTAGCTAAAGATTGGAGACGCAACACCCACCCCCCTTTATTTTTATCTTAATATCGGCAGTATCGTGTGCCGAAACAGATTAAGAGATTTGAAATATATATGGAAAAAGAAACACCCCACCCTCCCGTCTGACCTTTTAACCTGTAAACCAGTAGGCTGGTTTGCTTACCATACTTATAAATGCATACTATTAAAGTGTTTATAAAAGTTTTCAAACAATAAGTTCTCAAGATATTAGTCAGCTGATCAATCACTGATGGAAACATGCTGGGGAAATAAAAATTCAATTAATGGTAAATACTAAATAAATGTTATTAATGTGTACATGTATGAAAATACCAAAATTCTTTCTGCCAAGTAAAACGATTCGGATTAATATTTCTTGTAAGAAAGCGAGTAGACAAGCGTATATATGCAATATTGTTCAAATGTTACATTAAAGTTTTGCAGTTTAAGAAATTCAAACTATAGATAGTTTTGAATTTCTTAAATTGCAAAACTTTAATCTAACACAGACATTAGTCCTCGGTGGTCAGAATACATTAAGAAGTTAAATAATGACATTTAATTAAGTTCCTCTGATGACTGGTTGAGACTTGTTATAGATCTAATAAATAGGGAGGGTCCTCTACTCTCTCATTCACCTGCAAAATCTGGAAAAAAAAAATGGCATACGTATGCCTCCATATTTTTCAGTTTCCTCTCACTTTTAATAATCAAACAGATATTTATGTATTTTGTTGAGTCTTTTAACTACACGTATAAATTTGTATAATTTGGAGAGATAATAACTAATTATATTCAAGAAGAGAGAGTATATTGGGTGTTTTATGTTAACTCTATCTACAAAATAATGTCTAATATAGACCAAACACAAGTGTATTTACTGTAGTTTCTTTGTAATGAAATTGTCAAAAAAAAAGGTTAAAATCGTATTTTTTTAATATATTAAAAATCTATCACCAGCTTTAAATTGAAGCACAATAGGTGTGCATGATGAATAAACCTAATGTTTCATTAGTGAAATAGGACTCCTGATCGTAATTTAATGCATCTCTAAGGACCCCCCCCCCCCTTTCTTCCAATAGGTCACCTTAACATGTCCTTATGTTCTTTGAGAAGAGAATTTGTTATGGGTACTAATATATTGAAAATAGCTCAGGTGTTTCTGAATTTGCATTAATAAGTTTACAAGTGTGAAGATTTAAAGTTTTTAAGAAAAATATACAATCGAAGATTCAGAGTATATATAAAGAACATTTTGGGGTATCATATTTTTTTCTTTCTTTTTTTTTTTTTTTTTTCTTTTTTTTTTTTTTTTTTTGAGGATTCAAAAAAAAAAGACCTCAGAGAAATGCATGTGATTTCATTCAACGAAATTGACCTTCACTTTACTGGTTTTTAGGTGATTAATATAAATTACTTTATATAGTATACGTGTATTAAGGAAATAAAGTATGAGAAAATAAAAATTAATACTGACCCGAGAAGTGCAAACTCAGAAACAAATTCAAAACACGTATTTTTATTTTCCAAAATTAGTGTAAACATAAAATAAAATGAGAACTATACAAGTGACAAGTCTTGAAAAAAAAAAACGAAAGAAAGAATTTAAACAATGCCGCTCTTCGATTGTTCTTATAGGGTGTTCCACTGTAAATAGTAAATACTTTGTACTTTATACATGCACAGTCAGATTTAATCTAACATTGGAATTTAAGTAGGAACTTTAAATTTGGAGTCATATACTGAGAATGATTCTGAATAAAGAATTGATATAAATACACAATAAATTTTGATAAACTTGAGCACCGTCACGTAAATAAATGTAACATGAAAACTTAGTGATTTACAATTCATTGAATTTATTAACATTCCTAATTATTGATTTTTAATCGACCCGGCCCAGATTAAAACAAGAGTTAGCCTCAGTTAGGGTATTGATGTCATTCTTGACAGCGGTATCTAGATTCATGTCTACAGAATTGATGCTCTATATTATCTGCTACTGGTGACATTTCTGTAAGTATGTACATGCACATTCTTGGTCAAATACCAGGCCCTAGAATCATCGAGTAGTCTTATATTGAAGTCAAAATTTCAGTAACTCACAAAATGAATATTTACTGTGAACTGACACTTCAAAATTAGAATTAACAACATTAACAGTCGACACGAAAAGGAAACAACTTTTATTAACATTTCATTTTATGATTTTCTATTAAAAAAAAGCTTTAAGACACTACAATATCACACCACACACACACTCACACACACACACACACACACCCTCACACACTTTTTCACACCGCAGTCTCTTCGATCAGACCCATAGCAACGGTTTCAAAAGTGGGGGGGGGGGCAATGTCCCAAAAAAAATCTGACAAGCCAAAAAAAAAAAAATAAATAAATAAATTCATAAATAAAAATAAAAATATCCAATCCTGGAATTTGCCAGTGCTCGACCTTACAACAAAAAAGTGTGTGTGTGTGTGTGTGTGTGGTGATGGGTGGGGGGGGGGGGGGGACATGTAAAGGAAAACTTACTATACCAAATTACTATATTCAGAAAGGGGGGCTGCGTTCCACGGGCCGATAAGTTCTTGATCCATGGGACTAGCCAGGATCATCAATACCCTAAGATCAAGTTAAAAGTTTATGTATTGCTTTGAAATAATGTTGACATTGAATATTCCAAAATAGTTACCGGGTATGTTTATAATTGCATCACCAGACTGCCTTATCTGCAAATTTATAGTTTCAATTCATAAATAATAAATAAACCTCTTTATACAACTGACGGAAGTATTTTTACGGTGAGTCTATTTCACGACTCCAGGGTCCAACGGGGAGGGTCCGTCGTCCTTCTTCCTCAGTTTGTACGCATTTAGAACACTACTCCTTCTAAGGTCGTGGTCCGATTTTAGTAAAACTTGAGTACAAGTAGTGTATACCAAGATACATAATCAATATAATTATCGATTTTGATTTTCATTGAATATTGCGTTGTCTTAATTACTGAAAAAATAAATTCCCATGAGTCTTTCAAAACAAGAATGGTTTTACCATGAGTAAAGATAGAATTTTCTGTTAAATTCTTTGAGACTGCAAACTCCTTCTTACTATTTCAAAGAAAACTTGTATTGGTACACAAGTTGACTTTACCGAGATTGATATTCAACGAAAAACATTCTGTGAAATTCTTCCAAAACAACCCCGAACAACTCCTCCTACAATTCTGATCAGATTTCTAAAAAAAAAAAATTGTACATATAAAGTGTACAAAAATACTTTTAAAATTCTATAATATTCATAAAATTCTGTACACAAGCAGGTTATTTAGCTGATTGACTTTTTGGGAGAAAAAGATCCTAGATAATATTAATTTAAAAGTAGATTTAACGCCAGCTGTAAATCTTTAAATACATATACATGTAGGCGGTATAAACGTTCATTTGAATCGTTATTGACAACCTTTGGTTGCCTGTACTTGTATTTAGTCCCTGTAAGCTGATGCCCTGTATTTAGATATGAATAGGTATCATGTTTCTCTGAATTAGTTAAAAATATTGTTCTACCAAAATTACTTGGCATTTGTTTTTCCAATCAGAACAACCTAACAGGTATGATATGTTTGTTAATTTTAAAAGATATTATATTTAATAATAGATTAACACTGCTTTTAATTTTGTAAAACAGTTGAAGAATTTAGATCTACTCAATTAAGAAATAAATGTTTGTAAATATGAAATAGTTCAGATGAAAGAAGTTTGGCTTTGACTTTCTATTCTGAGATTTTCAGCTACTTTGAATCTTTATTAAGCCTTAAGGACATACGCAACGTAGTTTGAACTTTATTGTCTTTTTCCCTGGAGCTGAAGAGTTCCAATACTAAAAGGAACTGTGTGATACATTTTATTGTCTATATATGCTGTTGTACACTTCTTCTAAAACAAGTTTTGATAAACAAAACATCTACAATATATGTTTAGTAATTTCTGTATATTTTTCTTTAAATTATACAAAAAATTTCAACAATTGATATCTTTTCAAAACCCCTGGTAATGCATGCTGATTTTTTGTCTACGAACATTTGATGGCACTATAATCTTAAATTAAGAATATCTTGAAAAATTATCAGTAGGTAAGGTACGTTGCGTATGTCCTTAATAAAGACTAAGAAAAACAAACAAACCATTCTCACAAAACATGACACCTTGTTGCCACTTATGCTATAAAGAAACTATTTAGAATATATCTCTAAGTAAATGGTAGCCATGGGTACATTTGGAATACATTTTAGATGCTGAAAAAATCTCAACATTCACTAATAATAGGTGTTACATGATCAAACTCAATCAACAATCTAAGAAAAAATAAAAATATTTGACCTTAAGTAATGAGGTATTGGCAATATAATTCTAAGAGTGGGTTAATGCTACTATCTTCAGGAAAAACAATAAAATTCATGATTGACACATATACATCCTTAGGACCTTGCAACACCGACATTAGAAAAATTGGGATTAATTGTTACTTTGCAGTGTAACCATGGAAACAACGTAAGTGATATTTTTTGTTGCTTTAGGAATTTGCTTACCCTTTATTCAAGAAATATATTATTTGACTCACCTAGAATAGTACTTATCTGGTAGAACTAAAGTTGAATATCATATATTGAATTTTTGATGAAAAATACAACACCGTTGCTATGGTTACCAAGAAAGGAAAATGTTCGATTTTGTTAACTTTTTATCAATATTCAACCTAATGTGCCAGCTTTTTGCATCCAGGTAGAGATTGGGTGGTAATCAAAATGGAAAGTCAGGTTAGTTGTTCATAAATATCAATCATAAATTTTAAAGTTTTTGGAAACTACATACAAGGGCACGTATCCAAAGAAACAGAATATTTTTCAGATATTTATGCATATTTTTCGGCTAATTTCATAGCAACGCTCTATTTAAAGAATTTAATTTGAATTTTTTGAAATGTGAAAATTAGGTTCACGCCAACGCCTTTAAAAATTGATCATCAGTTATATAGAAGTATGCTTTTTAAAAAGATAGGATAAGATTAAAACACAAGGAGAGTAAATTTAAAATCCCTTCGTGGTATTAAAACCATGACAACCATTGCAACCTATAAGAAATGTTATATTTCGTCCTTGGTATATGTTACAAGGATCTTTAGTCTATTATTTGCTTGCATTTCAACCTATAATTGTTTTTATTCTTAAGTGTATGACTTTATAAAATTAAATGAACAAAATTATTACTTTTGAATACTTTGTTTCCATAGTAGCGTATGTAATAGTTGATTTACCACACATGTTTATCATGCATTTAAGACATCAGGCCTTCAACATTCAGAAACAGTCATTGCCACTTGTTTGCTTTGCTGTAAATGTTAACTATGGGACTCTGAACATGTTGAAAAATGACATTTTTCAAACTTTAGGACATGTTGCTATGGTAACCATGACACGTAGCTACCAATTTTTGCCTGATTTGAGTTTATGGTATCAAAGACTTTTATCATAGAGAGTTTGGAGAAATTCTGAGACTATGCGTGCCACAGCTCCTATATAAAAGTTCAAGTCATTATAGAGAATGGCTCTTAAATCGTTTCGATTTTTATTGGTTATAAATAATAATAAATATTAATAATGCCAAAACGGTGTAAGTATGTCTTTCAAAAGGCTAAAATGACGCGAAGTAAAAAAAAAAAGAAGAAGAGGAAGAAGAAGCATTCATACTAGTATAAAGCCTTGCAGAAAGACGCGAAGTTACATAAATATATATTATTATAACAGTAACTTGATCCGAAGAGTCGTATCACGTCGAGTTGACAGGCGCGGATCATCAGATCAAACGAGACGCGAAGCGTCGAGTTTGATCTGATGATCCGCGCCTGTCAACGAGACGTGATACGGCTCTTCGGATCAAGTTACTGTTATAATGATAAATTTATTATATACCCCCTTACAACTAACAAGATATTGTTTTAAAAAACTTTTGAGATCAATTATTTAACATTTTTCCATTAAACAAAGCATTGTGTCAAGGGACATTTTGATGCGCAAGAAAAATAACGTCATGTTTCTGTGTACTACGTCATCAATTTCAGAGAGGGGTGATATGGATTCAGAAAACCACAGTGTGGTGATCCGGAAAGTCGGATCACACCGTCACGTGATTGTACAAAATCTACAGTAAAATTGAGTGATACACTGTTGGGTATATAATAAAAGGCATTATTACATCAAGCAAAAGGCGTTAAAATGCAACGTAAGATCTCTTATAGTTCTCTTTAGGCACAAAATTACTTAGTGCCCTGCAATATTAATGAACGTGTAAAATAAAAAGTTAAATTTATAAATATCAGGGTTTAACACTTACAGCTTGTAAATACTGATATAAGTTAAGTGTATTATAAAGTTGTTTCTTAAGAAATAAGGTATCATTTTTAAACATCTATCGGGATATAAATACGGGTTGGTCACGAGATCAAATTCCATAAAGCCCGAAGGGCTTTATGGTAAATTTGATCTCGTACCAACCCGTATTTATAGCCCGATAGATGTTTAAAAATGATACCTTATTACTTATATTTACATTTGTGACTTATTCATATTTTATACTTGCCTGATTATAATCTTTAACGCGTGAAACGTTTTATTTTTCAAACCCAACGGCACGTGTTTGATCCTCTGACTGCGCGTCGACCCTTTATGACGTCACTGAGAAATTACGTCGAACGTTTATGACGCGAGGAACCCGTGTTTATACGGATATAGATACGCATTGCTTTCAATAGTGTTATATAAAAGAAAACATTTGCAAATGTAAATATTTTTAAATCGTACGTAGTTAATGTTATGTTTGTTTATTTCTATTTTGGGGGGGGGGGGGGGGTGTATATACTATATATTTACATTTGCAAATGTTTTCTTTTATATAACTTTATGAAAAGCAACGCGTATCTATATCCGTATAAACACGGGTTCCTCGCGTCATAAACGTTCGACGTAATTTCTCAGTGACGTCATAAAGGGTCGACGCGCAATCAGTGGATCAAACACGTGCCGTTGGGTTTGAAAAATAAAACGTTTCAAGCGTTAAAGATTATAATCAGGCAAATATAAAATATGAATAAGTCACAAATGTAAATATAAGTAATAAGGTATCATTTTAAAACATCCATCGGGCTATAAATACGGGTTGGTACGAGATCAAATTTACCATAAAGCCCTTCGGGCTTTATGGAATTTGATCTCGTGACCAACCCGTATTTATATCCCGATAGATGTTTAAAAATGATACCTTATTTCTTAAATAGATCGTTTTTGTTATAATATGTACATAATTATATATTGGAAACATTCTAATTGTCTTCAATATCCATTAATTCATTCTTATTAAGATGCGCAGTCATACCATTTGTGTTTCAAATTATATTAGCGATTCAAAAAGTTGTTTGTGTATGCATACGTTTGTAATTATTTTGAAAAGTGGTTCATTTGCGAAAATACGACTAATAATATTTGTGCTTCGCGTAAAGTTTGCGACACAGTAAACGTTAACTTTCAAAATGATGGATAATTACGAAAAAATACAGTTGTATATTGTACATGAGACTTCAAGGAATTGGTAATTGAAATGTTTCTTACTATGAATAAACAAAAGAAATGTTTAAGCTTTTACAGTGTAAAAAGTATTATATACTCGATATTCAAAAAAACTATATACGGCGAAGGCATATCCCTTCCCCAATAATAGTCAAATTTTGAAAACCTCATGAAATGTGCACGATTGATCATTGTGTATATTGTATTTATAAAATAGATCTGAATTAACAAAGCATTGATAGGGGAAAAATATTGGAATTTTTTTTTTTTGGGGGGGGGGGGGGAATCTCTGTGACGCCACAAACTATTGAGATTTCTCGTTACAATGTATAAAGAAGGGAGAGTCAAAATGCAAATTTTGTTCAATTTTGACTTAAGATTTTATAGAGCGCAAACATGTTTAGGAATAATTTCAAATATTTCACTGTTGTCATTCTATATATAACATTAAAGATGAAGTATAAGCAGACCTGCGCTATATATTTTCCAATCAAAGTAAACTTTCTTGAAATATTGATTTCACTTCATTTTTGGCGTCATATTTTACGTGTGACTTCACGATGGATGAAAATATTTAATGTATTGATGTCTGCATAATTATATACTCCTGGTTTGGAATATAATTAAAGATTTCCTTTTCAAAGTTTGATTAGTGAGCAGATATTGACCATTACCGAATATAGTTCTTTGAATCAGCAATGAACATTCATCATATTAATTATTGAGAGGGGCGGAGGAAGGGGGTCCTGTTTTCAGACATTGAACTTTTGATCTTGCCCTTTAGGACAACATGCGATGAATTGATATTTCTTGTTTATAGGCAAAAAAAAAAAAAAAAAAAAATCAAACTATTGACGTTAAAACCTAACAAATGGTATGGTATCGATATTGTTAATTTATTAATTATACAGAATTGTGAGAATATTTCCTACGCATTTTTTTCTAGCGACAAATGTTATGACGCAAAAAAATCAAGATTTGATCAAAGTCAACAAAGCTAAATCATCAAAAGTAAATCGAATTTTTCTGATCTCCTTGTACAAGTTGACATAATTTTGACGTTTTAAACATTCCATTGGAAGATGACACTAATTTTAGTTTGCCATTTTGAGATATAACATAACAATACAAGAGGGTTATACGTTTCCGTACGTACATGTAACTGCTGCTCGTCATTTTAAGGTCCAAGTTAGGCAAATTCGATTCATAGATTACTACAGATATACAAATAACAAAATGCACCAAAAATTATCATATTGATTGTGCTAAAACACAATAATCAGTCATATTGTCAGTCTGCCTGTTTATCTCTATTTTGAGGTACTAACTCCTACTGTTCTTTTTACAATTTCTGTGTTTGAAACTCGTAGAAACAACGATCATTAGATTTACCCATGTATATAAGCCAGGTGAGCTAAAAAGCGCTGTGTCGATCAATACATGTGGAAACCTAATCGGAACATCACTCGACGGCCTTTTCCGTCAAGTCGAGATAAGACTGGACGATGTTTCGATTGCTGGAAACCAACACATCCTTACCTTTTACGGCTCAAAATATACGTCATGAGACGAAGTGCCTCATTCTCTATCCAGAGTTGTCGTTCCCTCTACGCTCCCACATACACCTCTGTCAACGCTTTTTGTACAAGATTTTTGGAAAAATTGTGAATGATTAAAAGTTGTATTAATAATCGTTTTTAATTAAATTTCTTATCGGAAAACATTTTTTATATTAATTTATTACACCTTAAAAGGATTTTTTAATTAAGATTTTAATTTTACTCCGCAAAATAGTTCCCTGAAAACTTTGAAAATAAGTCGTTTTGGGGGATGATAGATTTAAAATAAATGATGAATTATCATCTTTATCGATAATCACAATAATTAATTACTATTTAAATTTCAAATTTTCACCGTTTAAATTTTGTACAAGAATCTGTACAGTGAGCGTTGACAGAGGTGTTGTGAGCGTAGCGGAAGACAACTCTGGATAGAGAATAAAACTGCATGACAGACAGATAGACACCAGACAAAGCGATCTCAATAAAGTATTGTTCTGCTTTGTTATTTAAGGAGGGATTCATGTTATTCCCACTTCTATTTTAAAGTATCATTTCTTTATATATTTTGATAAAAAGTAATACTACAAAAGTGAGATAAACTAAAATAGATATTGGCTAACCCGAATTTCCTCCAATCATCTTATTTTTTTTAAAGGAATATTCGTTATTTCTCTAAGCTTCTTATACTGTAAGTCGTTTTAATTCCACGTTGTTAAAATTTCACTTTTTTTTCAATTTTTTCTCAAAAAGTACTAATCGCGATGGTTTTAATTTCACGCAGCAAGAAATTAATTTAAATTTCGTATAAGCATTTAATCGTTTGTAATAACTAATGAAGCATTCACAATGCGGTTTAATTTCGCGGAAAAATGACGAATCGCGAATAAAGTGAAATTAAAACCATCGTGATTACTTGCCAATCTACAGTATATAATTTAAATTTATAGTATTTTCACAAATTGTGATGACACCCTCCCCCCCCCCCCTCCCCCCCCCCCCCCGGTTAAATAAGTTTAATACATTCAGTGTCTATAGCTAATTTGAATGTCCTAAAAAAAGAACCAAGTTTTTATACCTTTTTATACCTTCTGAAAAAGAAATTACTACTTAAAAAGGCAGCGCATTGCTCAAAGACTAATTTGAATATTTTTAATGAAACTTGGCAACCAATATTAGATGCATTATATTTATTACCTCAGAACTAATGGTATTATGTTATTATGTGTTTAAATTAAATGTCATTATCAAAAGCAATATCCCCTGCAATATATTTCTTTGTAAAAATAATGAATATATAATTTGTTTATGTAGATAGTATGCACTGTAATTTTTCATGATTTGCGAAACATTGTGTTGTAGGATGCAGATTGATGCTACTGTGTATAGTAAAATTTGTTGCATGCTTATTATTGTGTCGCCTGCAGAGCAGAGCGGCACTAAGGGATCACTTTACCCGGCGTCTGTCTGTCTGTCTGTCCGTCTACCTGTCTGCCCGTCTGTCACACCTTGTATCTCAAGAACTGTAAGAGATATGGACTTGATATTTTGCACATATATTGCTTGGCACTATGGCTTTTGTGATTTGCCATGGTTACCGACCTCGCGACCCTTGACCTTTGACCTACTTTACAAAAAAGTGAATAGTGCCAATATCCAGCATATTTTTGACACTTAAGAGGTAAGTCTAACTATTTAGCATGTGTACTGATTGTCATAAAACATCATGAAAAATACCAGCGTTATCATTCACTTGACCTTTGACCTACTTTGCAAAAAATACCCCGGACAGTTTGATTTAACTTAAGGGAGCCGCCTGGGGTTTTATTGTGTGAAAACTACTATAGAGAAACTCTTTAATTTTATACCATATGTACCTTACATTGACTTCGGTATACATGCCAAGTTTAGTGAAAATCTACCGTCTGGTTATTTTTTAGGGACCATCTCAAAATACAGATACATTTACTATAGGATTATATAGGAAAATGCCATTTTTTCGCACTTCGGAGCAAATTATACAAATGCTACTACAGACTTTTTGCTCAAATTATATTATTTGATGGGTAATACTATATTGTACATTTTGTGCAAGAAACACAAAATTCTACCGTCTGGTTTCCAGAGGGACAGCTCAAAATGTCAAAATTCATGATATTTTCCTGTTTTTATGGAGTACATGTACAACAAAACATGACAGATACCACAGATTTACATAAAAAATAATAAAAATGATTGTTAGATTCTCGATTTCCTATGTTTAAAATTTCAAGAGCATGTATTTTATACTTCTTTTATTTTATGGCATAATTAATGACCCCGCTTAAAGAAGTTCGGTTATTCATAACATCAAAAACACACTATTATGACGTCTATCTACCCAACATTTGAAAAATCGTTTAGAAAATCAGTTATTTTAAAACGTAATTAGATTTTTTAATCTGAGATTTCCTAAGTTTGTTAATTTTTATAAATTATGTAAAAATAGTTGCTTTAAAAGAGTAAATACGCTTTATTTTACTATGCTGCGCGCAGTATTGCGCAATTAAAACCCCAGTCGGCCCCCTTAAGTCTTTTGAATTTTGAGAGGCAGGGTGTTGATAATTAGCATTTATACATGTTTATGAGCTCATGATACTGTACTTTGAAACTGTATGATGTTCAGTTACCACACATTCTATGAAAATACATCGGGATCGGGATCCCACAATGGATCGTGTAGACTGACGATTGGAGTAACGACTCTGAAACACGTATTAAATGATAACTAATTATCTATAATAAATTCAATTTAATTATTCATTTTAGGATCGGGAATAATATTTTCTTTGATTGTCAGATTCTATCGCAGTCTTATACTATGCGTGGATGCTTTTTTTCTGCATGAACTATCATGCTAGTAGTAAATAAATAGGAAACTACACTTAGATTTATTTACATCTTTAATTTAACTACGAAGCAGGCGACACATGCGTTCCTTGGAACACTCTAGTTTTTTTACATTGTATATGAAAAAAAGAGCCAATAAAAAATAAATAAGAGAAAACATGTTTTTATTGATTTTTTCACTCAAAAATGTTCATAGATTGTAATGTTACAAAGGCTGAAAAGTTTGCAGTCTGTTTGGAAAATCTTATTTATATAATATACTAGTATATTTCAAAACACGTGTCCCGTATTATTAATTTCATTAACTTCAGAAAATCCTTTACGACTTTGGTTGTTTAAAATTGTGAACTACATTGTAAATTCATTATTCTGTAATAATTTTGAAAAGCAAAAGTTTTCATATTTTGAATATTTTTCAATGCTGCTCTTCCATCTAAAATAAGTCCCTGCTAGATCTTAAATCTTGAGTACCATTTTATGTCCAATTGTACATTTGTAAGAGGGAAAGACAAATATGACCTAATACATTCCTAACATACATGTGCATCAATATAAAGGACCTTTAGGCAAATATACTTCAGTGCTTTAATAAGTCAAAAACCAGGCAAGAATACCTCCTGAAGAGACACGGAAAATTAGAAGATAAAATTTAAAAAAAAAAAAAAAAAAAGGTAAAGAGTCTTAACCGATATTTCATTATTTTGTAGTTCCGAAGATGTTGCCACGACCACTTGTTTTTATTTGTGTACTTTCTTCAGTAGTGCTCTATGAATGTAAGTATTTTTAGAATTTGAAAACAAACTCTTGTACAGAAGATCAAATTGCTTTACCTGGTACTTTATTTGTCAGAATTCATGAAGTGTCATTTGACAAAAATTTGTCTAATGAAACTAGACCACACTAGGCACAAACAAAGATTTCTCCACTGAATGTACGTTATGATTCTTTTAAAGTTGTATGTGCGAGCAGCACCACAGAATCTGCCAGCGCTACTGCTGATGAGAATACCACTGAACAAACAACACAGCCAACCACTGATGAGAGTACCACTCAAACAACACAGCCAACCAATGATGAGAGTACCACTCAAACAACCGCTGCTGATACCACTGCTCAAACAACAGCCACTGCACAATCTACCACGGTCGATACTCAGAGTGCCACTCAAACATCCACCGCTGCTGAGAGTATCACTCAGGCAACCGCAACTATTCAGAGCACCACAAGCAGTGGGAACGGAACATCTGCAAATCAACCTGGTAAACAGAGAATACAAACTTTTAGATACTAGTACATTAAAATAACAGAAAATAACATGTATATTTCTTGCTATGGTTGATGGTAATGGTATATATGCTGCTAATCAACCTATCTGAAAAATTCAGTTACATGTACCTGCTATTGTCTGTCCCACGGTATCAACATCATCACTGTGTGCATTGTATCTCAAATCCCGGGCTTTTCAGGGCTCGAAATAATTGATTGCCCGCTGGTCTGGGGCCAGTGAATTTTCAATCTTGGCAAGTACATTGCAGAAGGCATGTGTCCTTTGGGTCAGCATTTTCTATGCATAATAAAATTCATTCACAGTCGGGATAGTTAACTTGACAGGGTGATGTGTCCCAATTTCTGCTGCTTCTTGTTTTGTTAAATTGTACTTCTAAGTATCACAATATAAAAAAAATATTACTATTATTATTATGGTTTTGGGCCAGTCTTTTTAAAATCTACTGGTCCAATGGGACAGTGAAAGTACGAAGCTGACAAGTAAAAATTTAAGGCGATAGCCCAAGTGACCAGTAAACAAAATTAATTATTTCTAGCCCTGCTTTTACACTAGGTTCGATCGGTGGATTTTTTTTTCTCAAACCTTCTCCTTTGATAGGAACCCTCGATCTCAAATAGTATATTGATATGGCAGCAAATTCAAAGTATACGGGGATTACAACACAGCAAAATACCCAAAATTTCGAAAGGGATAATTTTCCGTTGATCGCCTGATGTACGTAATTGAAATCAATTTATATTCTCCATTTTCAATGGGTAGACCGTAGATCTCTGGGCGTCCATCCCATTTTTCAGACCAGCGAGCTACAGATCCGCAGCTAGGACAGACGGAGAAGGTGATACCTATATCCCCCCCCCCCACTTCGTCGTTTTGCAAGGGGTATAAAAAACAGGTTAATTTTATTTTTAATGTCATAAATCATTAAGAAATCTTGTTATAAATATGGCTTGCTAACAAGTTATATTGGGACGGGACAACATTAACACACAGGTTATCGGCTCTAAATTCGCTCTTGAGTACATCTGGGAGGACAAATGAAGAATTCTGTAGACAAGTTTTTTTTTTCTTAGATTTCGTTATGTGTATTTGAAGTTTTGACTCTAAATAGGACAAAAAAAAAAATGTTTAAAAAGATAATTAAGTCAAAAATAAATATTTCATTAATAATTTAATTTTGTTCGTATTCTAGCCTCTGATTGGTTAATATCCAAAAAAGGAACACAAATTATTTCTGTATAACCTGGTTTGGTATGGGGACACACCCCCCTGACAACCAGCTGAATCATCTGTACCCATACAAACCTCTCATTTCCAGTCCTCGGGATTCATGGAAAATTCAAGATTTGATAAAAATACCTTTAACTTCAAACAATAATTCTATCTTACCACATGTAAACAAACAACAAGGCTGCTAGGCCTATGTATCGGTTTTTACCTCCCCTCGCTTCCCATCACTTCCGTTACTTCCGTTACTACGGTTGTATTATTGAGCGGCAAATTTGAACTAATAAAAAGCAACGAAATGTTACACCCATAGTTATTTAATGATTTTAAAATTAAATTATAAGGAATGACTCTAATTCTTGGCCAAATTATTCGAGTATAACCTGGTTTGGGTCAGTTTACGCTTTATAATCCGCGAAGAGTCATTCCTAAAAATATTTGAAATGTGTGTCACGTAACACATGACCGACATATAACGTAACATGACAGACGTATAATAAAACGTGACATGATTAAATTACATTTCTGATGCTTAGCAATGTAAATAATCTGTGAAAAATAAAATTAAACAATTCCTTAAACAATGCAAATTTTTTTTTTCACTCTTACATAGAAGAAAAAGATTTTTAAGCTACTTTTGATGAATAAACTGACGATCGCAACACTGACAGACTCCTCTATTTAGCCAGCCAAAATCAACCATAAACTTTCATTATTTTAATTTATCAAAAAAAAAAAAAAAAAAATAATGTTGCCATAAGAAGTGGACATTATTCAAATTTTTATTCCTCATAGATTTTAAATTTGAATTTTTAAAAAGTAAATCTCTGGTATACGCTTTGTAACATACAAAATTTTCACCATGTCTGTCATGTTACGATATTTCTTGAGCAATACCTGTTTGAAACGAGCCAATAAAATTTATCATTCAAAGAAATTAGAATACACAAGATATTATTATTTATGAAAATACTAATGAAATTTATAAAAATAAATTATTTCATATAGATCAAACCTATATCGTAACATGGACGGATGCACGTAACCCTGACAGACTCGTATTAAAAACTACAAAATTGTATTGTTTAAGTTATAAAGACGAATTCTGCCTTATGATACATTCTTAAATAAAAATACTCTTTGGTTTAATTCACTGAGCGTTTAAATCTGAATGCACCCGTTTGATTCACGTAACATGAACAGACATTCGTTTTGTCCGTCACCGTTACAACAGTATTCAGGCAATGTCTGTCAATCGATACGTTATGTAAGAAATGTCAAATTTTATGTGTTTATGTAGTGATGAAGAGCGTGCAAGTTCATAATTTTAAAAAAATCCAAAATACACCTACTAGTTGACAATATTTGATGATATGTGTTTAAAATCTAGGATAAAGACAACTTATATTTTTATGAACGAAACATACTTTGTGTAACGTAACACTTGACTGACAAACGTTCGTGGCTTCTCGGGCTCTCTGGTAGCTCTTCTTATCGAAATTTAAATATTCATAACCTTTAAGTCAAATCTCCGAGCTCCATTCTTAAAATAAAACGTAACGCCCACTTGCCATGACAGACACAGGAAGCATTCCACAGATTTGTTAATTTCTAAGCACACATGCTTTTCTGTTGAATCTGCGATCACTTAATTGATAAATACGTAAATTTTCTATCAGTAGACAAGAAAGATAAAATAGTTTGCATAAACAATGGCCCATTTTATAAGGCCATTCCAAGTTTTTTCTATGTTTAGCGTCCGCGTGCGCCTTGGTTTTTGGCACCCCGTTTCAAAAAAAAAAAACAAACAAACAAATTCAGGAGTCCTAAAATTGATTATTTTGGTCAAAATCTCGGAAATTTGTCAAGTTCTTTAAATATTTCTCTCTAGTATGTCATATTATGTATATTTTAAGCATTTAATACCTTGATTTTACAAAACAAAAGATATTTCTATGAGAAAAATAGATTCATGAAATTAATTTTTTTTTTAATGGTGTCATTTTTATTACTGTAAAGTCTGTGTTATATTTTTTGGCTTGTGTGTTTTTTGCGCATAGGTAGGTAGGTTTTTGAAAGATGGGTGGACGCTAAACAGAGAAAAAACTTGGAATGGCCTAACAATGTATCCGGTGTATTGAGACTGACAGACGTTACGTTCAAAATATGAGAAGAAATAAATTCCTATTTTTCTTTTATTTGAGACATAATATGCATTAAAATACCTTTGTATGTTAATTTTATCCTTCCTAAACAGTAGTGAATAAAGATATTCTGTGTACAAGGTATTATCGCCGTATATTTGTCTTTTATTTTGACATGGTTGAAAATGTCCCCCTACACATGCGTAATTCTAGTAGAATTATCAAATTCATTTCAAGAAAAAAAAGTAAGTTGATGAAAAAATCTGCTTATTTTATCTTTTTTATATATTTGCAATATACTTTTCAATATAAAACATTTCTTATTTCAATTTTTTAAATTATTTATTTTATATTCCTCTTGTTGAAATCATAGATCAAGATGTTCTCATGAGCGAATTTACAGCCTATTATACCCTCACTGTGTTAGCAAAAGAATCGTTTATGTTCCATCTTTAATATGTTTTCCCCCTTATGTTTAAACGATCGTTGACATAAAAATTATCTATCTTTACCATTCAATAGGCAAGAAAAAAAAAGTATCCGGTACACAATTTACAATCTGAAATATATCTATCTACATGTATAGTGTGTCCCACTTGAACGCTTGGACCACTTCATTTCATTCGATAACATAAATTTTGACTTTAAAAAAAAAATATTCAAAAAATTTTAAAGTTTCGTCACTTCCAAACCAGTTTTAGTCAGATTGGATGCATAAAAGTTGAAGCAAAGAAGTATGACACGATTTTTCAAAGTGTACGGAAATTTAAACAATCAAGTGTGCGAGGAAGCTGTCGTTATTTTCAGAGATTATCTGAGTTTGACGTATAAGAAAGCTCATAATTATCACAAATATTGTTATTGATCTGAGGGTATATGAATTGATTATGACCCAAGGTTATTCCAGCAAGTTCAAGGTCATTGACAAAAATGTGTTTATTCGCGTCTTATCTATAATTATCAGATAGAGGCTAATTGGAAGTTGATATTTGACAAAAAGATTGCTTATGGCTTAAGGTATTCAATGTATAACGACCATATTTTGTACCTAATAAATGAATGGTCCGAAATGATTAATCATGGTACTAACATTTTGAAGGTGTTATGAAATAAATATACCCCACCAAAGGAATTTACAAAATTTTAATTACTGTCCAATTAATTGCTCCTTAAATTTTATATTGACGTTTATGGACAGCGCATGTTTTATTAAGATATTGTAAAAAGTAATGTGAATTTCATACAAATCTCTTGGTGAAAATATGCATAGACTCTCTTTTTATTAAAATATGAAATAAAATGAATCATTTACCACGAATATTTTGACAAAATTAAAATTTTCTTCTTTTCGTCAAGGGCAGATAACTCTTCAAAACGTTCCAGGTGCAAAATGATCAGCTTCTTATTTTTTATCAGTCGTGTGAATTTGGCTCATTTCACTTTCATCGTTATCTAGTAATGTATTTTTAACTAGTTTGAAACGATTCAAAATTGTTCAAAATCCATTCTTTATACATTGAATACCTTAAGAGAGGGTCATGATTAAAACCAAGATTATTTTGACAAGGCTAGGTCACTGGCAGAAAAAAGGTTTTATATTCTGATCAGTCTATAACACATTGGAAGACAGTTCATACTTCATACAAACATTTTTTATGTTTTGAAGGTATGTCAAGACTCAACAAGTTCAAGATTGTTGGTATAAAATTTTTGTTGGAAGTTAAAACTTCAAACAAAGATTATTTGTGACCAAAAATAAGCCAAAACCTTCACCCAAGGTCATCATGACAAGTTCAAGGTGACAAGGTCACTAAAGAATAAAATAAAATTCATGCCTGGTCCACAATTTTCCTAATAGAGAAAATTGGATGTCCGTTTAGCACTCAAGGATTACTTAGACCAGAGGATGTGTCATTTTTTAAGCAAGGTAATTTTGGAAAGTTCAAGGTCACATTTATAAAATTGCGAATGGGCACTTTAAAAAGATTATCATTTTGAGTTAATAGTACTTCTAGTTGATCCTTTTATTGAGGACAAAAAAGCAAAATCGGGGCGGGGGAAATAGAAAAATGCACACGATTTCTATATTCCTCATCATATTGTTCCGTCGAATACTGTTGACTTTTGGTGCAACAGGTTATCAAAAAGGTCGTTTACAAACCGTTTTATTTTGTGGTCTAAAGTAGAGGTGTCTTCAAGGGCCTCTAACTAACATGTGTGAAATTCTTCTTTACTTTAGAACACATAAATGTATCAGATGTATGTTAAAATCTTGCATTAAAAGATTCAGGGGCAATATGAGACCATCTATCTTTCTGTATTCAATAATCCAGAAGTGAAAAAAGAATTAAATAGATTACATGATCAGTACGTACTGGTCCATGCAGACAAAGCAGGTAACAACATTGTCTTTGTTTATAAGGCTCATTTATATATTAAACGTATTTTAGAGGAACTTGGATTTAATTTTACAAGTGGTAATACAAGTGGTAATCCAACTTATACTCATAGTTCCCTTTCTAAGAAAGAAATTCTTCAAAATCATATGTCAGTTTTGAATATTTTTAATATTCCAAACAACCAAAATGAATTTGAATTACCATATCTATATTGGATTCCAAACTTCATAAAAATCCTTACAAAGAAAGATACATAGCGGGTTCCAGTAAATGTTTAACCAAGCTTTCTTTACTCTTCACTAAGATATTAACTGTAGTGAAGGAGAAACTTCAAAAGTACTGTGCAACAATATATTCGAGAAGTGGTGTAAATCAGATGTGGATACTTAAAAATTCCAAGGAACTTTTGGAAAATTTGAAATCACAAGATTTTAACAAAATCAACAGCTTAAAAACTTGCGACTTTTCAACTTATACACAACCATTCCCAAAGATAAATTAAAGTCCAGGCTTTTTCATATCATTGACAGCTGCTTTTTCAATAAAAATGGAACTCGTATATTTACTTACCTTGTCATTGGTCATTTGCAAAATTATTTTGTTAAAAACATTCTGATTGTACACACAAGTACTCTGAAGTTGACATTAAAAAGATGCTTGAGTTTCTGATTGACAATATCTATGTGGTTTTTGGAGACCAGGTCTTCCAACAATCTATTGAAATTCCCATGGGTACCAATTGCGCCCCGTTATTAGCAGACCTTTTTGTATTCATATGAAGCAGAATTTGTCCAAAATCTTATACGTGAAAAAAAGAATTTCAAAACACTTGCTGTGGCCTTCAACTCGACATTTAGATATATCGACGACGTATTGTCAATTAACAATGGTTATTTCCATTCTTATGTCGATACGATATATCCTGGTGAGCTTGAGATAAAAGATACCACAGAGTCTGACACATCTGTTTCATATTTGGATATTTTACTTTAAAAAGACATTAATGGTAATCTAACAACCAAGCATTATGATAAACGTGATGACTTTAACTTTTCAATCGTCAGCTTCCATTACTTATGCAGCAATATACCTTCATCACCTTCATACGGGGTTTATATCTCTCAGTTGATTCGATACGCAAGAACATGCTCTAAAACGAGGTAAATTATTGACAAACAAGTTGATGAAACAAGAATATCAGCTGTAGGGCTGGGACGATACAACTTTTTCTATATCGATAAGTATCCCGATATTTGAGCCACGATACGATATGTATCACGATATGTTTAATTGGTTATAAATCTTCTTTTTGTATTGAAATAAACAAAATATTTCTTCACAGATAAGAATAATTTATTCAAAGAAGTTGTATATCTGTTGTAAAACAGAATTATTTTACACATAAGTCAGAATTTTTTTTGCGATATTTCGATATTTTCTCATACGTATCGATATGCGTATCATCCTCACACAGAATCGATATTACCGATATCTCGATATATCGTCCCAGCCCTAATCAGCTGTCTCGTTTAAAGTCATCATTACGTAAGTTCTATGGTCGATACAATGACCTTGTCAGCAAATACAATTTATCATTGAGTCAAATGCTGACTGACGTTTTTCATACTAATAGTTAGACCATTATTTACACACTGAATTGTCGACGGATTTTTCCGTTATTTTCCGATCATGACTATGAGCACACGGCGGGTGTGACCGGTCGGCAGCGGATGCTCACTCCTCCATGGCACCTGGTCCCACCTCTGATGTTTTGGAGGTCCGTGTTTGCTCTGCTCCTATTTTGTATTGTTTAATGGACTTTTGAGCTTGAATTCTGTTCGTTATCGCCATATATTTCACGACGATGGTTTACTTATAAATGTATATTAAATATTTCTTTTTCAGATAATGGCGGATGTATATTTCACGTGAATGTCCCCCTTTTAACTACAGTTTTAGTCATCATTAGACTTTGGATTGGCAACCAGTGACGTGGTCCTCAGTTGAAAGAATGTGGGGAATATTTATGTGCAACTGACTTTATCATTGTGAATTTTCTTTGGTATCAATTATAAAACTGCTTGATGTACCCGAGTAGAAAATAATGAGTTTTTTATTTAGTCTTGAAAGTACAGTCTTATTATAGACTTTTTTCTCTTGAAAATAAATTTTGTTTGAGTGGTTAGTATTTCCTACCAAATATTTGAATGCTGTTGTTTCTTGAATTTTTAAAGTATATTTAATGAAATGAAAATTCTAAAATCACTCAATAAATGATATTTGGAAATTTTGAAAGGTAAAGAGTTTCGTCTGTTAATAATGCATCTTATAGAAGTCACATCAATGAAAAAACACACCTATTTCATTTTTCCCGAGCACTCTTCTTGTAATAGTGTTTTGGGAAAATACGTGAACTTTTGATTGAGACACCATAATGTTCAGGTAAGCAAAAAAGTTAGATATAAACATTGATCTATTGTGAAAAGTGCTAACATTTCCTAGAAATCAAAACCACTACGTATGAATTTTAAAAAAAATGATGGTATCTGCTATGCAGCCATTTTTTATGAAGATAAAGATAAACGAGTCAACGTGTTTACATAACTCTTGTTTAGAGAAGAAAGATAACTGCAAGAGTCGTAACTTTAAAGGGACCTGAACACAAATTTGAAGTTCATATTTTCTCAAATTTTCTGTATAATATCATGAATATTTGTTGCTATAGCATTTCACACGGAAATATACAATGTAGTAAAAGCGTGTCCAGAAACTTCTTTTATCTGGAAATTATCGAAACAACGAATTTCGTGACGCATTTGATTGACACATCCTTGCACTTTCACAAAGTAAACTTTATCCTTAATACTTAAGAAAAGTATAAATTTTGTTGTGAATTAATGAAAAATATTAATTAAAACTAGTATAATCCAGAAAATTCAGAGTTGATATGTGAGAAAGCAAAACCAGCTCACCGTACAGTCAGTCCGTGCTCAGTGATGTGTGCAGAGTTTAACAAATTGAACACACCCGGTGAAACGTAAACATTCAATTAGCAATAACAGAGCTCGTGCCCTGTTTACAAAAACACATGTTTGACGTAATGTAAAGAAGAATGTCGTTGTCATTGAATTCTAAGAATATTCATATAAGTTCAATTCCTTTAACAGGTTTTATTTTTTGAATTCGCATAGAAATTTAAAATATAAACAACGCAACTGTGTCCAGGCCCCTTTGAACCTCTTCTACACTGTAGCTCTTTATGTCATTGTCTGATCTATACTTACAAATTAATAAATTTTGCAAATAAACCACGAAACGCATGTACATTTTATTAGGTCACCTGAGTCACTCAGGTGACCTATTGCTATCTGTTTTCGTCCGTCGTCGTGCGTCGTGTGTTAACATTTAAATATTTTCAGCTTCTTCTCTGAAACTGCTGAACCAATTTCAGCTAATTTTAGCATATGGCATCTATGTGTGAAGGGGAACAAAATTTGTGAATATCATGGTCCCTGCCCCCCTGGGGCCTGAGGGGTGGGGCTAAAACCACCAAAATTAATGCAATCTTTAAAAATCTTCTTCTTTACTCCTGGACATCAAGCAGTCAAACTGTTGGCATGATTGTAATAAGCATTGAGCCCCCTACCAAATTGTGAAATTCATGGCCCCAGGGTCAGGGGTTCTGGTGCTAGGGTGGGGCTATATAGATTATATAGTGAAAGTGCATTATTTCTTTGGAAATCTTCTTCTCTACTCCTGGGTATTATTGAAACAAATTAAATACATAGTTATGAAAAGCAAGAGGTACTCTAACAAAATTGTGAAATTCATAGCCCCAGGGTCAGGGGTTCTGTTGCTGGGGGGGGGGGGGTGTATATAGATCATATAGTGAAAGTGCATTATTTCTTTGGAAATCTTCTCTACTCCTGGGTACTATTGAAACAAATTAAATACATAGTTATGATAAGCAAGAGTTACTCTACCAAAATTGTGAAATTCATAGCCCCAGGGTCAGGGGTTCTGTTGCTGGGGGGGGGGGGGGGGGTATATAGGACATATAGTGAAAGTGCATTATTTCATTGAAAATCTTCTTCTCTACTCCTGGGTATTATTGAAACAAATCGAATACATAGTTGTGATAAGCAAGGGTGACTCTACCAAAATTGTGAAATTGACAGCCCCAGGGTCAGGGGTTCTGTTGCTGGGGGGGGGGGGGTATATAAATCATATAGTGAAAGTGCATTATTTCTTTGGAAATCTTCTTCTCTACTCCTGGGTATTATTGAAACAAATTGAATACATAGTTATGATAAGCAAGGGTGACTCTACCAAAATTGTGAAATTCATAGCGCCAGGGTCAGGGGTTCTGTTGCTGGGGGGGGGGGGGGGGCTATATAGTTCATATAGTGAAAGTGCATTATTTCTTTGGAAATCTTCTTCTCTACTCCTGGGTATTATTGAAACAAATTGAATACATAGTTATGATAAGCAAGAGTGACTCTAACAAAATTGTGAAATTCATAGCCCCAGTGTCAGGGGTTCTGGTGCTGGGGGGGGGGGGGATATAGATCATATAGTGAAAGTGAATTATTCTTTGAAAATCTTCTTCTCTTCTCCTGGGTATTATTGAAACAAATTGAATACATAGTTATGATAAGCAAGGGTGAAATTGTGAAATTCATGGCCCCAGGGTCAGTGGTTCTTGTGCTAGGTGGGGCTATACAGATCATATAGTGAAAATGCATTATTTCTTTCAAAATCTTCTCCTCTACTCCTGGGTATTATTGAAACAAATTAAATACATAGTTATGATAAGCAAGGGTGACTCTACCAAATTGTGAAATTCATGGCCCCAGGGTCAGGGGTTCTGGTGCTAGGGCGGGGCTATATAGATCATACAGTGAAAGTGCATTATTTCTTTGAAAATCTTCTTCTCTACTCCTGGGTATTATTTATAATAAACAAATTAAATACATAGTTATGATAAGCAAGGGTAGTGAATTTCATGACCCCTGGATTAGGGGTTCTGATGTTAGGGCCGGGCTCTATTTATTATATAGTGAAAATGCATTAATGCTTTAAAAATCTTCTTCTCTGCTCCTGGGTATTTTTGAAACAAACTAGTAAGTACATTGTTATGATAAGACATGATGCCTCTTCCAAAATTGTGAAATTCATGGCCCCAGGGTCAGGGTTTCTGGTTCTAGGGTGGGGCTATATAGACCCTATAGTGAAGGTGAATTTTTTCTTTGAAAATCTTCTCTGCCCCTGGGTACTATTTAAACAAACTAAGTACATTGTTATGATACGCAAGGATGCCTCTTCCAGAATTGTGAATTGCATGGCCCCAGGGTCAAGGGTTCTGTGAAAAGGTTGGGGGGGGGGGGGGCTCTATTGATTATATGGTGAAAAAGCAAAATTTCTTTGAAAATATTCTTTTCTGCTTCTGGTTAAAAAGCAAAGAAGCTAAATATACAGTTATGATGAGCAAGAGTGCTTCTTCCAGAGTAGGGAATTGCATGACCCCGGGTCAGATGTGCTGGTGTAAGGGTGGGGCTCTTGATAATATATTGAAAATGCATTAATTCTATTAAATAATTCTGTCTGCTCCTTAGTGTTAAGCAGATAAACAAAGTGATTACTTATGATGAGCAAACTTCTGGTCCCAGGGTGAGAGGAGGTGGGGGGGGGGGGGCTCTATTGATGATATAGTGAATCTGTAGTAAAAATGCATTATTCCTTTAAAAACTTTTCACTTGGGCATATCAGAGGCAAAAAGATTGAAAGTTTTAATAAGGAATGGTATTTTTACCAGATTTTTGAACATCTGGACCATTTGGTCAAGTGTTCTGGTCCTGGCCAGGGCTCTATTAATTTGTATTCTACTGAGAGGAGTTATTCCCCTTTGCTGTTTACTTTTGCTAATTAATCACTGTAAACAATGTACTTGAAAGGTTAATAGAATAAGAGAATTATGCAAGAATTTTTATTGTATAATACAAAAAGTATTTTCATAGTTTTAATGATCAGGTAGACTTGTAAGTAATAGATAAATAAAAATGGAACAAAAATAACTTGTCTTATTAAATGTTCATCAAAGACCAAGAGAGGCTAATGTAAGAGATTTCAACAAGGAATTAAAATAATACAGAAGCACTGATAGTTTTTTAATATCCTGTATAGTGATAGTGATAAATGGGGAACAGATTAGAACCTTATTTATAAACTGTCAATGAATATTAGATTAATTATTTTGTTGGTCCTGATCACCCTTTTTTCTTGCTTTTGGGCAACAAAGCTTCACCTTTCAGTTCATTTTATACTCTATAATGGATCCTCTAAATTGTATTATACTAAGCTGACCGTTAAGGCCCTTGGGCCTCTTGTAATTTTATTGTATGATTTTTTTTTTTAAAAATTGTATTCTATAATTATCCATTTGTATTGTATAATATTTAGGTTTTATATTCCATAGTTATCTATTTAAATGCTATAATTGTTCAATTGTAATGTATTGTATATTTATACTACCTGTATTGTATAACGGTTCACTTTTTAGCTCTACTGGTCAGAGACCTGAAGAGCTTATGCGATAGTAAGTTGTCCGTCGTCCGTCCGTCTGTCTGTCTGTCTGTAAACAATTTTTCAAAATGCTACTCCTACAGTTTTGGTCTGATTTCAATATAACTTGACACACAAGTACACTACACTAAGATTCATAATTCTGTATATCGGTTTTTGATTTCGATGAACGGTGTTGCCATGGTTACTAAAAATAATTTCTGTGAAATACTCTCAAACTGCTACTTCTCCTACAGTTTTGGTTTGATTTCAATATAACTTGGCACACAAGTAGACTACACTAAGATACATAATTCTGTGTATCGGTTTTTGATTTCGATTAATGGTGTTGCCATGGTTACTAAAAATAGAAAATTCTTTGAAGTACATTCAAAATGCTACTTCTCCTACAGTTTTGGTCTGATTTCAATATAAATTGGCAAACAAGTACACTACACTAAGATACCTAATTCTATTTATCTGTTTTTGATTTTGGTGAACGATGTTGCCATGGTTACTAAAAGTAGAAATTTCTGTGAAATAGTTTCAAAATGCTACTCCTCCTACAGTTTTGGTTTGATTTCAATATTACTTGGCACACAAGTAGACAATACTAAGATACATAATTCTATGTATCGGCTTATGATTTCGATGAACGGTGTTGCCATGGTTACTAAAAATAGAAATTTCTGTGAAATACTTTCAAAACTCTACTCCTTTTTCAGTTTTGGTCT